TCCTGTCCACTGTCCACACAGCAAGCATCTGTCTGACCTCTGACACCTTCCACACCACTTCCTGTCCCACACGTGCAAGCGCTGCTACTTAAGACTTTTCATCAGAGCTGCCACCCCCAAACATGGGAAGGTCACAAACAGGAACGTCAACAAGGTCTCACTCGCTCTGCAACCATGTGTCCTTTAGTCGCTGCACAAGGGAGTCAGGTTTGAAACAATCGGGGAAGGGTTTGTTTATTTATTTCTTATTTATTCGCCTAAAAAAGTGACTTTTTTTGGAAATGTAAACATAAAAAACTAAAATAGGATGAATATGAGAACTCTTTCTAGAAAAATGTCATAATTTCCTAAGATTTCCTAAGTAAATATTTCCTAATATTTCCTAAATAAAATAACGATCTGCTTTCATTTTCCTGACATTATCAATAGTATCACATGTGCTTTGAAACCACGTAACCCTAATTTTCAGGAGTTAAATACACTTCACTCATCCTTGGGGTTTTTCGTTTCAGACCCCCTGACCTTTTGCCCCCTCTAATCGGTTCGCCGGGCAGAGAGCATGATGGGGGTTGGCAGGTGGGGGTAAAGCTGCAGATCCTCAGTCCTTGTTACCAAAAAGCTTTAGAGGGGCTTTTATTGCTCATGATGCCAGACTATAATCTCCCAGACGCTTCACACATATGGCATTGTGAGATCATCCACCTTACTGTACTCACCCCCTCCCCTCCCCCCTAAAAAGAGCTAGTGTATAAGAGACATCACGTGAACATATCCTCTTACACACACTTCACTATTTATGCGTGCCCTGCACATATCAAACTACCAGAGCAAAAGTAAAGCTTTATGAGGTGAGGGAGGTTATTTATGGGGAACACTTAAGCAATTTTAAAGTATATCAAATATTTGCTCGTCTGTACAGGACCACACAGAAATTAGTTTAAAAACTAAAAAAAAGGGTTCTACTCTAGTAGAACCCAGGGGTTCTGGAGCAAAGATGCAATCTTGCATGCAAACAACTTTGTTTAAAGTGACAGTGTGTATTTTCTTTGGCGATAGGGGGCAGTAGATACCTAAATCATTGCAAGCGAGCAGTATTCAAGTGTTGGAGTAAGGCCGTACCAACGGATGCCCATTAAGGTCAAAAAGTCCTGGGGAGTGCAAACTTCAGCAAAATAACAAGCACATCAGACTCACTTTCATCACTGGCAACAAGTGAAGAGGTAAATATGTAAAACAACACTATTTAAGAATGAAGAAAGTTTTGTAACCGTTTGCTACAAATGAGCAAATGCATTTTGTCCTCACGGGCTCCCATAGAAGGAAACATGGCATCTAATATGGCATCGCCCAGCAACTTAGACCCGCTCCCATGCACTGTAGACCTGATTTTTATGGTTATATGTTATGAAGCTGCCAATATTTTTCATCAACTGGGGTTCATTTAATTCATTTTCAACAACATTTTGATAGATATTTCCAGAAATTAATGGTAAAAACTACACATTGTAACTTTAAGGTACATCTGAGTCTTTGAATTGTTAGTTTGTGTATTTGTGTTTTGTTTTATTAGTAATTATGAACAGAATTCTGCTATTCGGAATATGTTTTCGTTCATTGGATGAGGATGAGGAAGAAAAACAGTTGATCTGAGGCACTCTGATGATTTTATTTTATTGAACAAGAAAAAGCCGATGCGTTTCGATTGCGTACGACCTTCTTTGGTTCAAGAAGAATGTACGCATAAAACCATGTGACCGAAACGCATCGGCTTTTTCTTGTTCAATAAAATAAAATCATCAGAGTGCCTCGGATCAACTGTTTTTCTTCTTCTAATGATCTAATAGATCCTGAAGAGCACCTAAGATATAAGATTTTCTATTTAATTATCCCACTGACGCACACACTCCCATATGTTTATGTTTTAATTCAATTTGATTCCTGGAGATAATCTCAAGACCTCAAATTTACGTTTCACCATCGGTTTTGGGAAAGTTTTATGTGGGTCATTTTTTACAAAGCCTTGTTGTAACACAAAATAAATAATAATTATTTGTATTATGTGCATTTTACATCATATTCTGGTGATTTTGCATATGTTTAAAGCCATAGTTTGTCTCTGTGGTGGAGTAGTAGAGAATAAACTAAAGCCAATTCAGCTGTTTTATTTTTGACATTTTCAATACCATCCATAAAACTGAGCCGTTTCAGGGATCTGTCACTTTAAGTCAGCAAGCCAGCGCTGGCCACGCCCACCCATGCCCCGCTCAGGCTGCTATAAGCAGAGAAGCTCTGAAATCTGGGAGGAGATCAAAATAGAACCGTTGCTTCTCCAGCAGCAAATCTTTCTTGCAGGTGAGAGGCAGTTCTTGTCTACCTTCACAGTTTGTGACATCACAAATGGGAGCTTTTTGAAACGGCTTGTTTTAGGCACATAATTCCTAAAACCATGACAAAAACTGATGAACTGATGTATTCTTATTTATTTTTTTCGTGTTTAGAGTGTTTATATAGGCAGAAGAGACCAACGTGTCAGCAAAAATGGATGCAATAGGTGAGTTTACACAATATGTCCCCTTCATTTAAAATCATGTTTTCTAACATGACGGCACAGGATTTTTTCTATTCAATTCATACACTTTTTGAGGTGATCATAGAATAATTTAAAACTATGTTCTTGCTGATGACTGCTCCAGCAGAGATGTTTTCTCTTAGACGTGAAAACTGTGTCCACTTGTAACTGGTTACAAATGAACACCTGGGTCATGTCTTTCCTCTTAAGATTAGTCCTGAAGCCAGTCTCCTGTTGAACCCCCTTGGGTCTCTGGTCCAGCCAGAATCAGAGTGGAGTAGGACCGAGGCGACGGGTGGGGTCGGGGATAAGAATAAACGGGCTGCATTGTTTAAACATGGCAAAAGGCATCTGATGATGAGCAAAGATGAATGCAACAATGACAGGCATTCTTTAAGAAGATGTAAAAGTCAACAACATTGCTGACTTGTGGGGAGGATGTTACAGGAAAACATGCTAGTCATTTAATTTGATTGCAGGGTGCTAAATAAAACCATTTCCTGTAATCTGGGTCAATGTGAGATCTTGACAAATGTCTCTTGTTAAAATCTATGAAAGCATAGACGTAAAAGGACAATTCTAACAATTTAAACAACCAGAGTAATGCTTCTTATCAAAATGAGCCAGTGGATGTGCTGGAATGTGACTGGATTAGGTTTAAAAGTAGAGGAAAAGGTTCTGGACTGTCCTGGTTTTGGACCACAGCTGAGTGGAGGAGGCAGAACAAGAAGGACTCCATTCAGAGACCAAAAGCTGATGGCTGCGTGAAGAGTTTGAGCTTCAGGCGCTGCTGTGGGAATTCACCCTATTTCATATGCAAATTCTTCAAAGAGCTGAAAGAGATGGAGAAACAGGTGTCCAAGGAAGTGTGCTGGAGCACTGGTGTGTGTGTAGGAAGGGGTTGAGAGGGTACTGAATGATAACACAGGGTCTATTCAAACACTACATGTTGTGCCCTTCTCCCACTTTTCTTACTTTAGTCATAAATGCAAACAAAAAGATGGAGAAAGTGTTGGTTCAAGATTTGAAATCATGTGTGGGAAGTAAAAACCACGAGGCAAAAACAGTATGGTCCAACTTAAATTATAACAATCTGTTGATGCTGCCTCTTGGCCAGATTGTTGTTGTAAATAAGAATGAGTTCTCAGTCGACTCATCTGGTTGAATAAAATAGCACTTTTGTGTTGTTTATGAGGTTAATTCTTTAGATATTCTTCGTTACTAATGTTCAGAATGTGTATTAAATGTATATATTTATGATATAGTGGGGTTTAGTGAAATCAATTTGTTTTGTGAAGAAATAATGAAAATTAATTATGGTACAATTTCAATTAAAATCTGTCTTGAGAGTTTCAGATTAAAATCCCCACATCAACATGAAAAAGCTCAACAATGTAAAGAAATACCCCCAAAGCTTTAGCAAAATAACTTTTATGGCATCCAATAGTCTGATAAAAACAATAATAGTCTGAATATTCTGCTTTGTTACATCATGGCTAATCAAGCAGCTTTCTGAACCCTCAAATAGACGTGGTTATGACTTCATTTCAAACTATTTTCTTCATTTGATATCACATCATTAACAATAATAATACTTTGGTCATTTATGAAGGTTTGTGGCTCCTCTGATTTCAATATTTAGTTTCTCAATAATTCAGTTTTGTTTCAGAATTACTATAAAAAGCATTTTTACAATTTTTGGGATGATTTTTGACTTTGATCATAGTTGACTTTATGCATAATTAAGAAAAGCAAACATAAAATCTAAATCAAATGAACCACAAACCTTGTATTGTTTCTTTGTGAAATAGAATTCTTTAATTCATTCAAAGCATAAATATAAATGTATTTTTGCACTTACAAGAATATTTAAAAATATTACTTGGATATGCTTCAAAAATACAAATAAAAAATCTTTGGTTTAACGTCACAAAATGCCTCAGCACTTTTTAAACTCGCATAGCTTCACTTCTACAGCTGCTATAGATAATGTAAGAGCGCCCCCTTGTGTTTACAGGGAGAAAAAACAGGATTACAGAAGAAGCTGCAAAATGACTGAATTAGTGTCAAACTAACAAAGCATCTCTGCTTCAGCAACGTAGTGACTAATAGACAACAGGGAAGTCTGAAAGCTCTAGAAAACACTGTCTGGAGCAAATTGGCACTTAAATATACATATATATATATATATATATATATATATATATATATATATATATATATATATATATATATATATATACACACACACACATGTTTGTGTATAAATATATATGTGTATATATATATATATATATATATATATATATATATATATATATATACACACACACATGTTTGTGTATAAATATATATGTGTGTATATAATAAACAGCAGCAGCAACCTTTACCCTTTGCTTCCCTAAATGTTTGCTTCAATGAAACTCAGGTCCCCCCCCCCCCCCCCCCCCCCCCCCCCTGCTCTGCTTACATGCACAATATTCTGTCTAAATCTAAACATGGGTCATCAGATCGCCGTTTCCCTTCCTACTCCTGTTTGTAATCCACAGCCACATTAAATCACCTCATTACAGTCTGTGTTCAACATTCATCTTTTAAAGAGCTTCAAAACACAAAACTTCACACCAAAAGGTTGTGATTTATTGAGTTTAAGGACTAAATGGATTGATTTGGATGTGAATAACAGCATCCACGACTTTTTCAAAGAAAAAAGGTGGATGTCACAGCAAAAGTAAAGCGGTTTGGAATGATTGTATAGTTGTGTGACCCGTGTGCCGCTACAGGTAGGTGTCATCATTGCTAGCCAGACTCTCTTTGGACCCCTGAGTGGGCTCGGGTTTGAGACCCAGAGACAGCCCGTTGGGAGAAGGGTGAGGATTAAAAACCTCCCGTGGAGGGAGGGTGGATATATGTCCATTTTTCTTTTTTGTTTTCCTACTTCCCCTAGCTTTTTCCGGTTCTAGCAAACTTTTCTTGGGTTCATCTGCGTTCTCCTGGTCTGCAGTGTTTGGCAGGAATGGATCCACGATGATAGTGGGTTTCTGTTTCAGCTCCAGGCGATTTGGCGGCTCGGCGGTTATGATGGCCTTAGCACCGTGCATCCTTGGAGGGGATTTGCAGCGGAGATCTCCGTGAGACTCCTTCCAGCGATGCAGCTGAGTTTGGTGCTCCTTCTCGATGTCTTTTTCTGAGATCTTTAGCTCCATTATCTGAAACACCGGATAAAGAGTGTGACCCACAATCAAGGAAGGGATTCAAGATCCAGAAGGTCAGGAGATTAGGACTATATGAATAAGATAAGACTGACTGCAGCCGTACCTCGTGCACCAGGAAGGCTTCATGTGTGTACTGTGGGTTAATGGATCGAAGCAGCTCCATCGTCTCATATAAACCATGGCAGCCCTTCAGCTTCTCTTGGGTTCCTAGTGAGTATTTTAGGAGAACCAGACCCACTTTGAATAGGATCTTCACTCCTTAAAAAAGCAACACACAAAAAATACACCACTTTTACCCCCCAGGCCATTTTATTTCTATTTTGATTAGTGAAAATAAAGATTTTCAGGTAATGCAGAAAATATTCACATAAATATCATTTTAAATGGTTTTCATAGGGATTACTGTATATTATACCTATATCCTAAAAGAAACCACAGCTAAAACTACGATAGTTAAAGGGATATTTTAGAAATTCTGAAGGATGTTTCTGAGCTTAAGTTCTGAATAACAACTATCTTACCTGTTGTGGATAGTTTTATGAAAGGCCTCACTTTGTAAAAACTTTTTTTATGTCCATTCAGAGTGATGAGCTAACCGCTAATCCGAGTGCAGCTGGTGGTAATGAGCTACGATGTAGCCACAGCTGTCCTGGGGCACACTGACGAGGCCTGTTATACACTGGCGCCACCGTCCCTCTGACCACCACCAGCAGGCAAGGGGGATTAAGCGTCTTGCAAAAGGACACAACAGCAGCATAATCAGGTCAAAGCCGGAATTGAACCTGCAACCTTCTGATTAGTGGACAACCCGCTCTACCACCTATGCTGCTGTCCCTAAACAACTTCAGTTCATGTTAGGAGTGAAACATTTGAAGAACAGTTTGATTTGCGTTTTATAAAACCGTGGATGATCACATGATCGCGTTGTGTGCTATATTTTGTTTTATCGTCCAGCCCTCGTTCATGTGATGCTAATTTTTAGAACTTTACGTTGGTGTCAACTTTTCATCAAGAGTTTTTTAAGTGTAAATATCACCAGCAGCTAGCCTAGAATTAAGACCGTCTTTTGCTGAAACTATACTGATGGACAAGCAACGCTCCACTGGAACCTCATAGTTCTGGCCATTATTGTGGCTGGCCAATCACAGTGTGTTTTAGAAAAATTATGCATTTTATATGTCATGTAGTTATTTTATGTAAAACTGCCCTGTTGACTGACATCCGTAGCGGTCCAATCACAGTGTTCTATTGGTTAAGTGGGCCAATCACAGCACTCGGTTGGTGGGTTAGGATGCTACTGAAAAAACAAATATGGTGACGGCATTTTTTAAATGGCTTAGCTATCAGCTTTGGCCTATTTAGACTTGGACCTTTTTAACTGAAAGTTTGTTTAGAAAAATTATGTATTTGCATCTTCCTTGACAGATGTGGTGGACTGCCCCGATGACTGACATCTGTAGCAGTGAGTACGGCACGTTGTTTGTAATCCAATAGCATGCAGAGAGAGTTTGAAGGACAACCGTAGATCACGCCCCACGTGTGAGAGCTGTCAATTGGCCATTGCCAGAATTTATACTCACATATACAGGATGGCTTGCCAGGCTAACCAAAATCAGCAAAAAGGAGCATTTCTGGTGCACCCAGGAGTCAAATCAAATTCTACACATTAGCTCATCAGTCCTGTAGGATGTAAACATTATTTCACCAAACAGAGGCTGTTCAGAAGGTTATTTAGAATGGGCAATGATAAGATGGTAAATATTTATTACCTCTACAGAGAAGCTCAGCTGAAAACAGCTCTAAACTGCTGCTTTTTATTCTTGTTGAAACATAAACTCAGTCATCCATCCATTTTCAGCCGTTTATCTGGAGTCAGGTCACGGGGGCAGCAGCGTAAGTAAGGAGGCCCAGACTTCCCTCTCCCCAGCTACCCCGCTACTTGGGCCAGCTCCTCTGGGGAAATCCCAAAGCGTTCCCTGGCCAGCTGTGAGACGTAGTCCCTCCAGCGTGTCCTGGGACTTGGGTCTCCGCTTGGGTCTCCTCCCGGTTGAACGTGCCTGGAAAACCTCATCAGGGAGGTATCCAGGAGGCATCCTTACCAGATGCTCGAACCACCTCAACTGGTTCCTCTCCACATGGAGGAGCAGCGGCTCTATTCCAAGCCCCTCCCGGATGACCGAGCTTCTCACCCTATCTCTAAGAGAGAGCCCAGCCTCTCTGTGGAGAGAACTCATTTTGGCCGCAATCTCATTCTTTCGGTCACTACCCAAAGCTCCTAACCATAGGTGAGGGTAGGAAGGTAGATGAGCTAAACTCAGTATTTATCTGTTTAAATTACCCACACTTGAATAGCGCCTTTCTGAGTCAGAGGACTCCAAAGTGCTTTACACTAGTCTATCATTCATCCATTCACACACAATCACACCCTGGTGACGACGAGCTACATTGTAGCCACAGCTGCCCTTGGGCACACCGCCAGAGGTGAGGCTTTCCAAGCACAGGCGCCACCGGTCCCTCTGAACAGCTGATCTTTGACCAATCACAAGCTGTGCAATCACATCCATGTGCAACAGCAAACAACACACCCATCAAAACGAGCTTTACTTTCAACCCGTGGCCGATAATCTCCGTTAAACTGATGGAGAAGATCAAAGGAAAAACATCCTCGATAAACTAAAACACATTTAAAAGTGAAGCTGTGCGTTTTGCCTCACCCTCACAGAGAAACATGTCCCAGACCCGCAGCACAGACGCCCAAGGCAAAGTCCGACAGAAGGCACACATGAACCACTCGGTCATGTACAGGACCGGCTCCACATTTTGCTTCTTCAGATGGCGGTGGGCTACAGGAGACACCCGGCGCAGCATAGAAAACAGAATCTCTCCATCCAGCTGGATCGCCTCCTGTTGAGACAACGCAAGACAGCAGTCAGCAGGGGGAGACACCACCCTCCTCTTCCGCCTCCTAATCTGATAGTCTGATAATTGTGTCCGTGAAACCTCGTCACCACCTTGTGTTGTTATGCTGTTAGCTTATCAGGGTCGGGGCCGAGGCATACTGGTCAGACGAGTCCTGACACCAGCATTCGGAGCACATTCCAGCCCGATGACAAACATTTTTACTGCTTCACTAAATCTTACCACATTTCAATGCATCCTTTAAAAAGCAGCTGAAGACTCACTTGTTCAAGCTGGCTTTTGTGTGACCTTCTTCAACCACTCTCTCTTTATTCTGCTCTCCCCACCTATCCCACCTTCCTCAGGATCCTCTGATTTCCCTCTTTCCTGTTCACTCTCTCTCTTTCTTAACATTTTTTAATCACAATTGTCTATTTTTGCTCATTTTAAATATATTTTTAAACATTTTCTGAATGCTTTTTTATATTTTTACATTTTTTGTTTTTGCAAAGCGCCTCGTGATTTTTATCTTGAGAGGCGCTGTAGAAATGATATTTTCTTCTTCTTCTACATTTAAAAAAACTCAATTTGTGTGAGTCAAACAAATATTGGTATTCTAAAGAATATGCATCAGTAAAATGGTATTAAATAGGGTTTCCTTTTCCTCCTGACAGCGAGGACTTTGGATGACGTACCAGCCCTGTGCTGTAGTATCCAGGAATGTACTTTTCACAGATCTGGACAAGAGTCCAGAAAGCATCCTAACGGAACAGGAAACAAAGTGTTATTTAAAATCAATTATCTTAGAGATTTTTAAGACAAGTGAGAAAAAATGAGAAAAGTTCACATTTTTATGGGATTAATTGAAAGATTTTCACCTCAGCTGGCATATGCATCAGAAGTAGAGCAGCAATGGGAGCCTGAGCCTGGCAGTAACCTTCCTCAGACTGGTACACAGTGTAAGCCTTCAGCACGTCTAGCAAATCCTGCTGCCTACATGTCAAAATAGAAAATACACTACCTTTAAAATCAGACTTAGCCCATCAAAACACATAAATGTCCTTTAGAACAAAGGGCGTACCCAAGACCTCCTTTTGATGCAAACATTTCATGGAAAGGGAACTGTCGATGAAGGTCCCTCTCTATGACGTCGAGCCATTTGGGATCTCCTGGATGGTTCTTCAGTTCCTATAAGACACTATTTTAGTTTTTTTTAACCAATTTTTCACATTTTCTATCTATTAAACTGGGATCTAGAACTTAAAGGTGATGAAGACTGAAAAAAAACAGTTTTAATGATTATTTCTGATTATAATCGGTCACTCTGAGTTTGTAATTTAAATACAAATTGTTAAAGCTTTTATTTTGATATTTGAACGTGCAAAAAAGTTTATATAAGTGATCCAAAAGGATTCAAATGAAGGCAACTGGACGTCTTTGGTTTCTTGAAGATGCTTCGCTTCTAATCTGAGGAGTTTTGTCAAATCTGACTGGGTTATGGGAGGGTCAAACTTCTAATCTATAGCCGTCTATTGTGTAGAAGTACGTTGTGAATACCTAAGTTCTCCCAGATATCGATAGAAAAAGCAACAACTGTCCCATCACAAACATTTACTACAGTAAACCCATCATGATTGGGACTCAAGAGGAACCAGGATTCTCAAACTGACCTCAAACTTGCTCCTGTTTTGCTCCTTTTTTGCTTTCCCTCCAGTGAGGTAGAGCCAGGCCCGACCCCGCAGGGATGGAGGAATTCCTTTCTGGCAACGCTCTTTCACCTTTTATTCAACAAACACACAGTTACTGCAGGATTTAATAAAATCCTGAATAAAATGAGCTTCAAATCTGATATGATTGTGTGAATTCATGCTTTTTAAACCACAGCTTGAACCTCTTTAAGGAGGAATTACAAATCAGTAAAAGCATCACATAAATCAGACCTTCTTGTGTTTTTTGGCCATCCACTTGTCCCAGCTTTTTAACATCTCCAGCCATTTCAACTCCCGCTGCCTCAGCACATCAGAGGGGATCTCCTCCGCCCTGAGAGGGAAAACACAACAAAGCTGGTATGAGTAGTCAAACAGAGTCCCGCCGTCCTCTCCTAAAAAGTTCGACAGGAGACACTTTTGCTCAGAGGGAGCGGAGAAGCGGCTCGTCTCTTCTTTGTACGTTCAGGAAACTTTCCTCAAGCGAAGCAGCTGAACATTCGCCATCGGAAGGGAAACAGGAAGCTGTGGGGGACGTTTACCCCAGTCTAATTCACTGTAGCCTTTATAAAGACACCTCACCGCCCAACGGCGCTGAGGAGAATACGAGATGTCTTCCGAACATGAACAAAACACAAACCTGCTGAGCAGTATGTTCTAATCGGATCACCAGAATAGTTCCGGACAACATCGGTGTCTCTAAACCACAAGCACATTTAACAGGTGAAAGCCAATAAAGTCAGAAGAACAACGCAGAACAGAGACGCTACATATAGATCGCTGGTTTGACGGGAGGATTTGCGGTTTCGTTTCAAACAGCTGAACATCCCATAAATGCCACCTTTCAGGCTCTACAAGAATGGATATCCTTGATCTTTTAGCACAGGGGCTGCAAACATTCCAGATTATAACCCATGAAAAAGTGAATAACTAAATCATAATGAAAACACAGCTACTGGTTTGATCTCTTCCATTGAAAGCATAAAAAAAGTTTTGATTCCTGAAGATCATCTCCATGATGTTTCATGAAGAACCACAATGGGGGGGTGGGGGGTCTCACTGATTTTATAAACGGTCAAATTCACAAACTGAGTTTGATCCATCATACTCAAGTTGAACAGAAATTATTTTGATCCATTTAGATCAAACACTGGTTAGTCACCAAACCCTAAATCTTTGACATCATCCTCAACAGTCACACATTCTTCCAATTCTCAACATCGGACTATGAGGAAGACTTGGTGGGAGTGTTATCAGTGAGTGTAACTCCTGGACTCGTGTTGTTCCAGTTTACACCGATGACAGTCTGGAGCTGAAACCTGTCCACAATAACATATAGTGGTTAAGGTGAGGCAAATGCTGGTGGATCATGTGATTATCTCACGCTAGTTACTCTGATGCGGAGCAACCATAGATCTACATTAACCAAGGTATAAGGAAACTCTTGGAGTGAAAGTAAACAGGAAGTTGTTTTACTGTTGGGTTGGTGATGTTTGAAACACAGGCTAGTTTAATCTGGGGTTTATCCGAGTTCGGGTGGAAATGGGCTCTGTCCCATTTGAAAAGGATAAAACTCAAACAAATCACTAGTGGAGACAGATGGCCCTGGCAGGATTGGGACATGACTAGGATAAAATGTTTGAATAACTGAAACAAGAGCACACTTTTGACTAAATGAGGACAGTTTTCATGTTAGTTTAGCTGCTAGAATAAAGGAAAACCGGTGAGGGAGGGGTGAGTGTACTTGCTTTCGGCCGTAACCAACACTTACACGTAACTTCAGGAAATCCTCCCATATGTTTTTTTTTATTTACCACATAAATCTGATTATCTTTGACAACACACAATGACCATTAAGAAATTTTTTTCACATTTTCCCATATCTACCAGAAATCAGAAGCTGCATTTGAAACATCACCCTTACTCTTCTGTGGCGCTCTGCTGAGCTCCTCCTAAGAACCCATACTTGTCCACCTGTGTGTCCCCGGTAAAGGAGTTGTTTGATCCACGAGAAGTTCCTTTCTCTCCATCCGTCAACTTCTCCGTGCTGCCACCGATTTCGAGCCCATCGTCCTGCTCGGCTTCTGCCATTTAATCGACATCGGCAGCAGCAGAAGATGTCTTCAAACTTTAGAACGAGTTCTCCATCAGACTCCCGCTGGTGACAGCTAGCTAGTTGCTATGAGAAACAATTACTTAGCTACTCGCACATTGATGCTAAAACAGCCACCTTGGGGGCACGTTTTGGTAAAATGTCCTTGCTTCGCTATAGAAATAAATGTTTCGCTTACGCAAAAAGACTAGCCCGCTAGATTCAAATAGAGCGATTGGTTTTACCGTTGAATTAGCTCGGTGTCTGCACGCTAACTCCGACGGTAACATGCTACTATCTCACAGCTGTCAGCTGACCGACAAACACTTTCTACCGAGAATCTCTTCTGTCAGCAGGAATGCAGATTAGCTGCAGGCTAAGGAAGAGAATCTGCCTGACTGGTTAATAAACAAAACATCCTTGGAATCTCATTTAACCCAACCCTCTTCTGCCACCTACCGGAAGTCATCTGCTTTACGTGTAAAAAAAAAATCAAAAGAAATTTCTTCTCAATTAACTTTATTGATAAAACTAACAAAGCAAAGCAGAAAAAAAAGAAAAAGAAAAAAAAAACGAAATTAACACACGTGTAAAGGTAAAAAATACACAAATACTGGAAACCAGGGCCGTGCAGAGACCTTTGACGGGGCGGGTGCTCAAAGTAAAAAAAAAGGGGCCCTTATAGAGCAATCCAACAAGTTAGAAAATTCAGATAATGAGACCCTTGGGTTCAAACAACATAATAAAAATATACCAATTAGTATCATTAGTGTTAATGTTAGTTCATAAATAATAGTTTTAGTTTTTAAAGCTGACATATCTAGAGATGTTACAACCACATTTTTGCCCCTGATCCGAGTCCAAGTTGTTTGATTTTTGATTATCTTCCAATACCTGTTCTGATACCAGATGGTGATGCAATGCATTACAAAAGAAGAAAGAATTCATCCTTCTGTCTGTATTTGTCAATTTGTTATTTTAGCCTGAAAAGGTCACTCATTCAGGAAGTACATTTAACAGAAATCAAGATTCAAGATACTTTATTGCTATTGCACAGGTGTACATCCAAGTATATTTTGCGTCTACTAAAGACAGCTCTAGTAAGAGGTAGTAAAATAAATGTAAAATAAATGCACCACAGAGAGTTATCCAGTGTGATCTACAGCTACAGTATGTTAGCTGAGATCTTTTTCCTGTCAGTAGAAAATTCTTGATCCCATTCCATGATCTCACTGAACTTAACACTAAACATGAAAGCTCTGCTACCAACCTAACAACAACTTCCTTTGGGCAAAGGCACCATCATCACATACGTGGCAGGAGTCTCAGAGAAACTTAGAAGAATCTTCTCCAAACACAACATCCCGGTAAACTTTAAACCCAACAACACCCTCAGACAGAACCTGGTCCGTCCAGAAGACAAAACACCCAAACAGAAGCTCAGTGGCGTCGTTTATGCAGTCCAGTGTAGTGAGGACTGTCCAGATGTTTACATTAGAGAAACTAAACAACTATTACACAAGAACATAACACAACACAGGAGAGCCACCTCTTCAGGTCAAAACTCTGCCGTCCACCTTCACCTAAAGGACAAGGGACACACCTTTGAAGATGACAAAGTCCACATTCTGGACAGAGAAGATAGATGATTTGAGAGAGGAGTAAAAGAAGCTATCTATGTAAAAACGTGAAAACCCCACTTTAAATAGGGGCGGGGCTTAGATTTCACCTTTCCAGTACCAATAATGCAGCTTTGAATCTCATTCAGTTTCAGTCTAGGTCACACCTTCCTGCTTCTAATCAACACGATGACTCAACATCAACAGAGGCTAACGACTCATCAGGAGATAAAGAAGAAGAAGAAGAAAATCTCATTTCTATAGCGCCTCTCAAGATAAAAATCACAAGGCGCTTCACAAAAACAAAAAATGTAAAAATATAAAAAAGCACTTAGAAAATGTTTAAAAATATATTTAAAATGAGCAAAAATTGACAATTGTGATTAAAACAAATGTTAAGAAAGAGAAAAGGTGAACACGAAAGAGGGGAAATCAGTGGATCCTGAGGAAGGTGGAATAGGTGGGGAGAGCTGAATAAAGAGAGAGTGGTGAAGAAGGTCATACAAAAGCCAGCTTGAACAAGTGAGTCTTCAGCTGCTTTTTAAAGGAGTTCACTGAGTCCACTGATCTCAGGCTCAGGGGGAGAGAGTTCCAGAGTCTGGGGGCCACAGCAGCAAATGATCTGTTATCTTTGATCTTTACCCTGGTGCATTGCACAACCAGTAGGCTTTGATCACTGGACCTCGGGGACCTACTGGGGGTGTAGGGACTAAGAAGATCACCAATGTAAGATGGTGCTTGTCCATGACAGGCCCTATAGACCAGAACCTGGATCTTGAAATAAATCCTGAAGTTGACTGGCAGCCAGTGAAGCTGGAGGAGAAGCGGGGTGATGTGGGTGTGTTTGGAGGACTTGGTCAGAAGCCGAGCACAGGCATTCTGAACCACCTGTAGACAGTTCTGGGAGACTCTGCTCAGACACGTGAAAAGAGAGTTACAGTAGTCTAAGCATGAGGAGATGAAGGTGTGGATAACTGTCACAAGTTCAGAGCGGGACAGATTGGGACTCAGCTTAGCAATGTTCCTGAGATGGAAGAAGAAAGAGCGAACAAGAGAACTGTCAGGAGAATCCAGGGTGAGAGCTGGGTCAAAGGTCACACCAAGATTCCTGACAGAAGGTTTGGTGTGAGAAACAAGCTGACCAAGAGAGTCTCTGACTTTGGGAACCAGCTTGTCTGGGGCACAGATGAGGATCTCAGTCTTATCTTCATTCAGCTGAAGAAAGCTCCCAGCCATCCAGGTTTTGATAGAGTCTAAGCAGGTGTGTAACAGCTGCAGCTTAGACATCTCATGGGGCTTAAAGGAGATGTACAGTTGGATGTCATCTGCATAAAGATGGTAGGAGATTCCTTCGAAGGAGCTCAGGATGTGCTGAAGAGGAAGCAGATAGAGGAGAAAAGCAGAGGCCCCAGCACAGAACCTTGTGGGACACCATGGGTAAGAGAGGTGGTGGAGGACCTAAACTTGGAGACGGCCACAGAAAAGGAGCGCTCAGAAAGATAAGAGGAGAACCACTCCAGAGCAGATCCTGATAGGCCTACCCAGTCTCTCAGCCTCTCCAGTAGCAGGTGATGGTCAACAGTGTCAAAGGCTGCAGTCAGGTCCAGCAGGACCATAACAGAACAGTTCCCTGCATCACTGTGAGTCAGAAGGTCATTAGAGACCCTAGAAAGAGCTGTTTCAGTAGAATGAGCTCTATGAAAACCTGACTAGAAGCTATCATAGATGTTATGTTCATCAAGAGCAGCTGTGAGTTGTTTAGCCACAGTCTTTTCCAAGATCTTGGAGATGAACAGAAGTTTAGAGATGGGTCTGAAGCTGCTATGGAGAGAGGGGTCAAGACTCGGTTTTTTAAGAAGCGGGTGGATTACAGCGTTCTTAAAGTAAGCAGGGACCTGACCAGAAACCAGAGAAGCATTAATTATAGAGAGCACGCTGGGACCAATGGACTGAAAAGCACTTTTAAACAAAGATGAGGGTAAGATGTTGAGGGAGCATGCAGAGGTCTTCATAGAGTTAACTAGTTTGGTTAACTCAGGCAAAGAAACAGTAGCAAGGATGATGGGCCTGGTTGGAGTCGGGAGAGGCAGCGATAAGGCTGAACAAGAGATGCTAGATCTAACCTTATTGACTTTGTCCACAAAGAAAGACAGATAGTTCTCACAGTCTGTAACAGAGGCGGGTTACTCAGAGTAGTTTCTGCTCTTTAAATAACAACAGACAGCTACAGCTTATAAGCTTGGCTCTCCCAAATTCCAGTTAGAACTGACAACGCTCCTCAGAGGAGATGTGAAATGTTTTAAAGAAACCAAAGAAGTCCAGTTGCCTTCATTTGAACCCTTTGAAGTAATAGTCAATAATAAAAAATACATAATAAAGTAATAAAATGTACATAATTATGCCCACATTCACTTTTACCATCTCTTTGTGGGAGGCGGAATATTTATAACGGTTAACCCTCTTATGACCATAAATACAACTGGTATTTTTTGTTTTGTTTTATGGCTTTAAAATTGTAATAAAAGTGCAAAATGTTTGTAACTCTGCTCCTTTTTTCAGAACAGCCTCAGCTTTCAGTGTCAGGTTTGCATTTAGTGTTTATGTTTATTAAAGTCTGTAAAACAGCAGCTTAAATAAAAAAACAGATTTGAATTTTCTTTACATTTATTACTAAACAGGAACTTCAAAATGTCAGGACGTGCTGGTGAGTGGAGCGGAGGTAAGGATCCAAACGCTGGGGAGGAAGCAGGCAGGCAGACAAACTAGAAAACTCAAAAGGTTTTTTAATGATCTCTGGACACAGGACATGGAAACAATGAGGCAACAAGAGACACAGAACTGGAGGGGTTTAAATACAAGAGGGCTGGGAGCTTGGGTGATTGGGAAACAAGAGGCAGGTGGGAGCAATCAACAGAGACACAGGCTAAACCAAACGGGGAGACAGGACAGGGTGTGACAGTACCCATAAAAAAAAGGGCGGGTTCCAGATGCCCACAGGAACACAGAGCAGGGCGGGAGGAGGGGGATCCGGAGGGAGGGCCAAGAGGGACCGAGGGGCCGATGGAGAGGAGGCAGGGACCAGCAGAGTCCGGGGGCCTGCGTCTAGGGCAGAGGAGGCGATGACGAGCTCCTGGGGGCCCGCGCCTGAGGCAGAGGAGGTGGCAACGACAGACTCTTGGGGGTCTGCGCCTGTGGCAGAGGAGGCGGCGACGACGGGCTCTTGGGGGCCTGTCTGTGGCAGAGGAGGAGGTGGTGACAACGGGCTCTTGGGGGCCTGCGCCTGTGGCAGAAGAGGCGGTGACGACGGGCTCTTGGGGGCCTGCGTCTGTGACAGAGGAGGAGGTGGTTACGACGGGCTCTTGGGGGCCTGCGTCTGTGGCAGAGGAGGAGGCGGTGACAACAGGCTCTTGGGGGGCCGCGCCTGATGAGGGCAGGACTGGCGGTGACCGGAGGCAGAGACCCCGGAGGAGATGTCCTTGACTTCTGGACTGGAGGCGGCGGCGGCGGCCTCCGGGCTGGAGGCGGCGGCGTCGACCATGGGACTGGAGACGGCGGAGACGTTGGACTGGAGGGAGCGTCGACCTCTGGACGCGAGGGAGCATCGACCTCTGGACTGGAGAGAGCGTCGACCTCTGGACTGGAGAGAGCGTTGACCTCTGGACTGGAGAGAGTGTCGACCTCTGGACGGGAGAGAGCGTCGACCTCTGGACGGAAGAGAGCGTCAACCTCTGGACGGGAGAGAGCGTCGACCTCTGGACGGGCGAGAGCGTCGACCTCTGGACTGGAGAGAGCGTCGACTCCAGGACACGAGGAGGCGTCGACTCCAGGACACGAGGAGGCGTCGACTCCAGGACACGAGGAGGCGTCGACTTCAGGACACGAGGAGGCGTCGACTTCAGGACACGAGGAGGCGTCGACTTCAGAACACGAGGAGGCGTCGACTTCTGGCCTGGAGGCGTCGACTTCTGGCCTGGGGGCGTCGACTTCTGGCCTGGGGGCGTCGACTTCTGGCCTGGGGGCGTCGACTTCTGGCCTGGGGGCATCGACTTCTGGCCTGGGGGCGTGGACTTCGAGACTGGAGGCGTCAATTTCGAGACTGGAGGCGTCGACTTCGAGACTGGCGGCGTTGACTTTGAGACTGGCGGCGTCGACTTCGAGACTGGAGGCGTGGACCCTTGGCCTGGAGGCGTGGACCCTTGGACTGGAGGCGTGGACCCTTGGACTGGAGGCGTCGACCCCCGGACTGGAGGCGTCGACCCCCGGACTGGAGGCGTGGTGAAATTCAAGCATATCGAAGTGTACGCATTATGTTAAAAGCTAGGTGTGGTTTAATAGCGCTACCTTTTACACTATCCAAGCTAACGGTCAGTAATAGCTTCAGTTACTTCCACATCTCAGTAAGCTGGAGTTCTATAGCTGCCAATCTATGGTACATATTATTCCAGTGTGTTAATCATTTATGTGGGTGGGTTTTGTTGCAGATTATTTTGTTTGATCTAATCCGTTTTCTATCCCAAAGATCCGCTTTATCCTCATCCAGAACCGAGCAGGGAAGACACAACTGGCTAAATGGTACATGCAGTTCGATGATGACGAAAAGCAGAAACTGATCGAAGAAGTGCATGCTGTGGTTACACTCAGGGATGCCAAGCACACCATCTTTGTGGAGGTATGGGATTGTATAAATGCTTCAATGTGTGGCTGTTTTTGCAGACTACATATACATTAAAAAGTTAAGATTTCTAATTTTAAGTATAGCTCAATACTCTTGAAAGAGAGGCTGAAATGCAATTGGATTGTAATGTTTCATATATGGATGTTGATCAATATCTGCAGGAAAATAACATTCGAAAGAACATATTTTCTATTTATTGAACTTGGTCTGTATGTGAAGATAACGCCTTAAATACATCCTTGGGTGACTTAACAATATTTTTAACAAATACAGTATAATAGAAGAGGTTCCCACCTGTTTATTTTTTGTTTGTAGTTGACTTAAATATAATTATTGGTATACAAAGCCTTGAGTCTCTCAGCTCTGTTGAAACTTCTGTTATCATAACACAAATCTAAATTTCTAATTGGATTTCACCATTTTGTTCTCACAGTTCAGGAACTTCAAGATCATTTACCGACGTTATGCAGGCCTGTACTTCTGTATTTGTGTGGATGTGACTGATAACAACCTGGCATACCTCTTTACGCAGATGACATCCAACTGTACATTTCCTTTAAGCCCCATGAGATGTCTAAGCTGCAGCTGTTACACACCTGCTTAGACTCTATCAAAACCTGGATGGCTGGGAGCTTTCTACAGCTGAATGAAGATAAGACTGAGATCCTCATCTGTGCCCCAGACAAGCTGGTTCACAAAGTTAGAGACTCTCATGAATCTTGGTGTGACCTTTGACCCAGCTTTCACCCTGGATTCTCATGTTAAGTTCACTTGTTTGCTCTACCTTTTCCCATCTCAGGAACATTGCTAAGGTGAGTCCCGCTCTGAATTTAAAACTGCTATCCACACCTTCATCTCCTCACGTTTAGACTACTGTAACTCTCTTTTCACGTGTCTGAGCAAAACCTTCCTGAACCGTCTACAGGTGGTTCAAAATGCCTGAGCTCGGCTTCTGACCAAGTCCTCCAAACACACCCACATCACCCCGCTTCTCCAGCTTCACTGGCTGCAAGTCAACTTCAGGGGTCATTTCAAGATCCTGGTTCTGGTTTATAGGGCCTTACATGGACAAGCACCGTCATACAATGGTGATCCTCTCAGTCCCTATACACCCCCAGCAGGTCCCTGAGGTCGAGTGACCAAAGCCTACTGGTTGTGCAGCACCAGGCTAAAGACCAAAGGTGACAGATCATTTGCTGCTGTGGCCCCCAGGCTCTGGAACTCTCTCCCCCTGAAAACCTACGTGTTCAAGCTGGCTTTTGCATGACCTTCCCCACCATCCTCTCCTTATTCTGCACCTTTTGCAAATTCTGCCTTCCCCAGGATCCACAGATTTCCCTCTTTCCCTTTCCTTACATTTTTTAATCACAAATTTCTCTCATTTAACCATATTTTTTAATGCTTTTTATATTTAAAATGTTTTGTTCTTGTGAAGCGCCTTGTGATTTTTATTTTGAGGCACTGTAACAAAAATCATGTGGTATGGTGGAGAAACGAGGGCCCGGGCAGGACTTGATCCCTCCAAGGTGAATCGCGCGCTAACCAGTCAGCCAAAGGGACATCCCATGGCCAAGGAGCCAGGGTGCATGATCAATCGGGATTCTGTGACAGGACGTTCACACTGCCACATCTTTCCCCCTCCTTCCACAAGCACATCCTCGTGCTGCCGCGCAGGGTCCCATAAACTTCAAATCCATGGACCTACTTGACAGTATTATGTGGATCCTGCCGACAATGCTAAATGTGGCAAGGTGGAGAAATGAGGGCCTGGGCGGGATTTGATCCCCATGTCTCTTTGGCTGACTAGTTAGCGTGCGTGACTCTCACCTGGGAGTCTGGGGATCGAATCCCACCCGGGCCCTTGTTTCTCCACCTTGCCACAATCATTTTCTTTCTTTTTTTCAACTTACTGCTGGGTGGACTGGCCTATCTGGCATTCTGGCACTGTCCCGGTGGGCCGCTCACCCAATTGGGCCGCTTGTGGCTTTCACATTCGGTGGCATAGGAATGAGTCAGCGAGCAGCTCACAACCCCCACCCCTTGAGGGCCGACGGTTCATAAAAACCAGTGCTGAATTTTTGTCCCAGTCCGCCCCTGCTGCTGGCAATGTGGACCAAGCTCTGACACCGGCACTCCCAGAGTACCCCCACAGGGCCCCCCTGAGGAACGTGGTCAAACACCTTTTCCAAATCCACAAAACACACGTAGACTGGTTGGGTGAACTCCCACACACCCTCCAGGAACCCCCTAAGGGTATAGAGCTGGTCCAGTGTTCTGCTGTCAGGATGAAAACTACATAGCTCCTCCTAAATAAGAGGTTTGACAATTCAAGAGACCCTCCTTTCCTCTCCTGAACCCCTGAATTTACCAGGGAGGCTCAGGAGTGTGATCCCCCTGTTGCTAGAACACACACTGCGGTCCCCCTTTTTGATATTCAAGTCTTACAGGACACATCCCCTTTTCTCCAAACCCCAAAACCTCTTTTAGACCAACCCTATAAAAACACACGGAACCAGGTTTAGTATAAATACTAGATTCTTTATTTAAATATTGTACACGTTTTAAAACATACCAGTATTTACATAAATTAGACCTGCATTGTTACACTGTAGAACTATCTTTCATTCGCTGGCTGCAGACAACACAATCATACTAACAGACTGCAGAAGCACCTTTTGAGAACGACTTAATGGAGATAAAAGACAAGAGGGGGTGCATCATTTACATCAAATCGCCACTGGACAACGCAGCAGATGCGGGAAAATCTTGCAATGACAGGAAAGGCCTCTTGATGTACAGGTGGAGCTTTTAAGGCTGAAACTGTGCTCACCCTCATAATACAAAGATGAAAACAGAAGATGGTAACTTTGAGCTACAGGAAAAAGCTACAGGTCATAATTATTATGATGAATCTGAACGTGATCACAAAATACAACACAAAATAAATGTAAATGTAAATTCTCCACAGCGAACAAACCAACAGAACCGTGGAAATGTTTGAATTCACAAAACTGTACCCAAATCAACATATAATATGGCTTTCCTTGTTTCTTTTGGTTCCTTGTCTTCAACCTCACACAAACTAACCCCAAAACACTTTAGTTACAACTTTTAACTATTGGACATTTTAAGCATAGAAAGACATTTTAGTTTCCTCTTGAGCTTTTCTACTGACACGTCTGAACACAGACGTACAGTCGTCCACGTGTTAAAAAGCATAATGTTACATGAGTGTGTCTTTGGTGAGCGTGCCTGGGCTCCAAATAAAAGGACGGACCACTATGAACAGTATTATTAGTGTCTTTTTGTTGTTTTGATGCTATTTGGTGAAATCCATCCCACCCACACATTAACACTGAGTTCATGACAGAATCATAAGCCTCCTCTATGCATTAGCTACAGAATCCCAATGTAAATCAGTGAATTTTATCATTTCTTGATAAAAATTCCTCCCAGCTGGATTTAGGACGAAGCACAGATCGTGTTAAATTACGTTAAACTTGAGATTTGACGTGACTTTGTGAAAGTATGGGTTACTCTGGTGCATAAACAGCAAAAAAGGAGACTTGAGTTAATAGCTTGATGAAATTATAATACGGTACAAACTTTTTTCTCTGAAATTTTACCTAAAAATCAACAAACTCCAAATGTTTTTTCAACATCTGAGACAGAAGAGCGAGAAAAGAAGAGTTTTTAGTTTATATTCACTTAATGAAATCAATCTGTAACCATAAAGAACTACGTAATTTGTGGTGCAGCAGCTTCTTGTCACAATCAGATGGAATATTTAAAACAATCCCTTTTTACCCTAAGCTGACATCTATGACAGAAAAGTGCAATTTAACCTTCCCTAAAACCGGATGTTAAAAAGATTTAAACATGTAGAAAACTGATCATTTCAACAGCTTTTGCCCATCAAAAAACTGGCATGGCAAAACAGATCATTCCATGAGTTATTCTGAGGAAACTGAGTTGCTTTCATAAGCTACTTCCCTTAATCTAATGCCCACCTTCACCTATATATTGTGGCTTTTTCAGTCGCTTTAACATGCATTATGAACCAATGATCCAACAGATTCATGAAGCCATCTCATGTGATGAACGGCTTTTGAACGACACCTGGTTGAATAAATAATAAACGCAAAGATTCACAATTAAAAGTACAAACACATTGGATTAATTTTAAGATGTGTTTTAAACATCCATTACTTTCCTTAAAGTGACCGTGTGTATTTTTTTATGGCGATAGAGGGCAGTAGATGCCTAAATTGTTACAAGCGAGATGTATTTTTGTGTTGGGAGTAAAACCTTACAAACGGATGCCCATTAAGGTCAAAAAGGCCCAGGGAGTGCAAACTTCAGCAAAATGGCCAGGGGCCTCATTTATCAAGCTTGCTTACGCACAAAACAGGGTCGGAAAACTGCGTAAGCAACTTTCCACGCAAAGTTTGGGATTTATGAAAGAAAACTTAGCGGGAAAAATGTGCGCAACTTAAAGTTGACTAAGGATCTTGCTTACGCACATTTTGGACATGGAGAGCACCTGCAGTGCTGCTGCTGAGAAGGATAAAATTATGAAATCCTGCAGCATTATCACTTGTACTGCTTTGTTTTCACACAGAACAAGACCCTCCACACGTGCGTGCACACACACACACACACACACACACACACACACACACAGCCTGAAGCGCAGAATACGGAATACAGATTATCAGCAGGGGGGACAGATTGAGACAGAATGTCATGCGTCTGTGACAGTGTGTGTCCTGTCACTGTGACCCGATTGATCATGCACCCTGGCTACTTGGACAAGTGAAATCTCCGTTTGGGTGACTGATTAGCGTGCGTGACTTTCACTCGCCACAGATCTCTCACAAGAATTCACAACATTGACAGCTTCAGCAACGCTGTGCCACTCTGTGGATTTTCTCTTATTTGTTTTGCAAACCCACTTCCTTTCATTTCTCCACCTCACCCACAAGTACCTCAATTTCTGCTTCTGTAAAATAGCGCTTCCTTGATCTGCCTTGATCTACGGTCACCATGTCAATGGCGGAGCGCTGCAACAGCTAGCTTATGTATATGCATGAGATTCCCAAGGCACTTTGCATTGACTATTTAAGGCAGTAAGTGGGCGTGGTGAGGGCGGGATGTGACTAAAAAGCAGATGTGAAACTCTAGTTTCTGATTTATGAAGCGGAGATTGCGTGCAGCTGTGCGTACTCCATGTTTGATAGATCACAAACCTGCTTGGCGTAAGTACATATTTTTTGCTGAGCTTAAGTACGGTTCTAGTAAGGATTCTACGCAATGTTTGATAAAGGAGACCCCTGCACATCAGACTCCCTTTCATCTCTGGTAATGAGTAAAGTGGTAAATGTGTAAAACAACAATGTTTATGAATGGTGAAAGTTTTGCAATCATTTGTTAAAAATCAGTAAATGTGTTTTGTCCTCAAGGGCTCCTGTAGAAGGACACATGGCATCTAATATGGCGTCGCGCAGAGACTTAGACCCGCTCTCATGTACTTTAGACCAGATTTTTATGGTTATATGTTACGAAGCCGTCAATATTTTTCAACAACTGGGCATCATTTCATTCATTTTCAACAATATTTTGATGGATATTTCCAGAGATTAATGATAAAAACTACACATTGTCACTTTACGTGAAACTTTTCAAAGTAATGTTAAAAAAATAAAAAATAGACGCCTTTACTTTATTCCTGACCTATCATTGCAGCTGTAAGCATTTCCAAATGTTAGCTTTATAAACAAACATCAACATTCAAGATGACACACACACACACATGAAAAATCTGTCACATATACTCACACACACTAGCGTATTTTCTACCTCACAAAAGACACAAAAGGAATTCTTTCAAACATCTTGTTCATTTTTACCAACTGGAAGTCGGGGATTGGTTACGTTCATTTTAAAATAATTATCTACACAAGAAAATAAGTTCATGGATGAACGTGTTTATGTTCCACACCAGTAACAACGTAGCTCCTTACTTTATCAATCAAAAACATTAAAGAAGAGCCTTAAAGAAAAAAATAATACACAAAAATATTTACAACTTAGAATGTGCGCTTTAACAGTTCCCTCAGCAAAGTGACTAAACCTGATTAACCTCCACGTGACACTTTACGAATTCCTCTGACTTGAGCAACATGTTGGCTCACATTTCCAAACCCGAGGCACTAAATCCCGCATTGTGTTCTCCCGCATCACCTGTCATATCCCACATCAGCATCCTACACGCTTGCTTCTAACACGTTTACACACGAGGACGACTCAAACAGGAGACTGGCGAGGTTTAATAACCAGCTCCATCGCTACAATCTAAAGAACATCATGGCTTACTCCTTAATGATTTTATGATTTCTTTTTTCAAAATAAAAGCCCTCTGTTTATCTAAACTGTGGACTGTCTTACTTACATCACCTAAGAACTGTCTGACAATAAACGCGGGGGCCAGTCCAATCTCCCAAATCATGATCAACATGAAAGATTCCCAGCTGCCCCTCAACCGTCCCAGCACCAAAATAAAACAGCAGAAGAAGAAGAAACATGTCATAAACGGTGGAGGTCGGCCGTGTCAAGTGGAGTGTGAGTGAGAGGTGTCAGTGGGCTTCCCATCAGCCCGCAGTGCATGTTGGGAAGGCTGCAGACTGAAAGACTTAGGCAGACGGCGTGAGAACATCAGTCTCAGAGAAGCGCACACGCACACGCACACACACACGCACACACACACACACACACACACACACAGTTAGTCTGTGTATTCAGCCACTATCGACAACAGCACCGTGATGTCATCTGGTTTCCCTCCTGCAGAAAACAAAAACAGTGTAAAGAACCACATTTTAGCCGAGTGATGTACAAGAAAGAACACTAAGCTCGACATTTACATGTGCCGAGTTTTCCTCACCTCTTACATTCAGGCCGTTATCACAAGCAAACTGTGCAAAAGGTGACATATAATTAGGGTCGTAGGCCAGATCGTGAGCTTGCTTTGCAATGCTTTGCGCAGTCTGCAGCACGCTGTCGTAGCTGGAAGTCTGACACAAACAAACACAAAATGTGACCAGTGGGTTTCATCACATGTACTAACAAGCCATCAGGATGTCATACCTTTAGCTTTTTGAGCTCCTGAAGGATCATGTAGTCTGGCATGTTGTCAAAAAGGCCATCTGTCGCCGTTAGGATGATGTCACCAAGCTGCACGTCAAAAGAAGAGCTGTCGGCCGCTTCGGGACTGGAAGAAACAACGGGATGACGTTAAACCTGAGCAAGGCGGAGTGCGAGCTAAGGGCTAAAGTTTCTACTATAAAATTAATCAGGTAACAAGTCAGTCTGGAAAATCGTAAAAGGTTCATGTGGTGCAGCCTGCACTCAGCGTCCCTGCCAGATTCAGGGAGGCTTGGCTTTCTCGCTGTGACGTAAACAACATTCACGTTTTATTTCCACTGGACTCAGTCTATCTGGTAGTGATGTTAACACGTTACTGCAACTTACTCAATAAGATAAATTGTGACAATCAGACAGGGAAAAAAGTTCAAAAGTACTTAAGATGAAAAAGACACATGCATTTTCCTTCATTTGTATCCAATTACCTGCCATGAAAATATGTCCTGCCTGCCACACAATACTGTGTGGAGGACAACCTAAAGCATTTGGAGGCATTTCTTTAAAGTGCTTGAATCCTAAATGGTGTACAACAATCTAAACAATGTTAGTAAGTCGGCTTCTCCAACAGAATCTAACAGACACGTGGATAATTGAGGCTCTTTTAGGTAAACATGTACTTTTTATTTTCTCACACTTCTACAAACCTGTCACTGAGCACCACCCCCTCCGCTCCTGGAGGAGCGATAGACAGCTGGAAAGGCGTGTTGAAATAGTGCTGCTGCTCGTCTGATCGAAGAACCACCTCTCCTCCTCGCACCACGAGGAAGCCAGAGTCTCCAAGGTTGCAGGTGTGTAAGCGGTGACTCCTTCGATCCAGAACCACAATACAGGCCGTGCTGCTTCCTGCAAACACAGTGCAAAATCAGTGATGAGTGTACATCAATAAGAATAAGATTCTCCAACAAAATGAAAGAAAAACAACCCAATTTTAACAATTCTTAATGTGTTAAATAATATTTGATTCACCAGTGGCCTCGTGTCTGAAGGGAAAAACTTGCTTGTCCCAGAGCGCTACAGACAGTGTAACCTTGAGCACAGAAGACCTGACCTTGTTGCAGCTTCCCAAAATATAATCAGGGCCTTCTGCTAATATTTCAACTGCCACCAAGCGTGTCGAGTAGATGCGTCGCCTCTGAAGGAACGTGACCTTTGTCACATGTCTGACAGGACTCTGCTATTAAAACCCTAACAACATCTGGTGCTATCAGTTACAGTTGGATTCTTGCCCCATTTCAGCTCGCCTAGCCGGCAAAACATTAAACCTTTTAGATTTTGTAGCTGTTTAACCACACAAGGTCACTTTGAGGTTTTAGCAGACCACTGCACTGGCATTACATTATTTAAATAAGGGTTTAAGTGCTAAGGAATAACAAATGCACGCAATAAGTTACGGTAGTGCTGATCAGATTAAAAATATTTTCATCTAAAAGGACCATTTAGATAAAACACAAGCAGAATTTACTTATGGTTCTAATATTTATGAACCTTTACAAAAAAAAAAGGCCTGCTGTGGTCTGACTCATACTGCAGCTACTTATGTATGACTGTACAGCACAACTTTCCAGAACAATGGCTGGGTCAGTGCAGAAGCTTCCGTCTACTCACCTAGCAGAGGGACTTTGTTTTGTAAGAGCTCGTAGTAACCAGAGGTCAGAATTCCCACCGGATTACTGGGAGTAAAGCGTCCCTCCTTCACCAGCCGCTCACAGGTTCTCATCAAGGTGGCAGAGAACTGAGACGGGTCGACGCCATAGTCCCGCCAACCACCTACTCCATCAGCAACACCTAAAGAACACAATAGAGGTTTACATATAGTAGAAAAACACAGTCGGACTGCAAGGCTTATAGACATAAAGTCAAAGGAAGCTTAAAAGGTGCAACATGCTCTACAGAAACACCGGTTTTCTCCAAATAAATGTTTGATGCTCATATTACAGGCAGCTGATTTTGATTTAGTATTAGTTGCAATTTAAGCCAACTTTCCTTTGTAAGAATTATAATCTGCAGCACTGTGATTGGAACCAATCAATCTGAAACCCAGCCAATCAGTCACAGATTTTTTTCTAGATACTGGTAATGGTCAAAATCTATATTGGTCAACATAAACAGAATGTAAACAAGGCAGTTAAATCTACTGGTATAGATAGCTGAGTGTAATCCAACTCCAATAGTTTGCAAAAACATATTATTTAATGTTATAAGATCTTAAATGATCCTTTTAAAACCAAATTTGTTTGAACACCAGTGCATTATTAACCTGGCAAACCATCCTTTGTATGCGCACATACATAGGATGGTTTGCAGAGCAATTAATGTAGCTCCTACTACTGTCCATTTAGACTTCTAGGCTAGTACTATAAAACAGAATAGGGTGCTCTGGTTTATTGAAATTAGGTTTTAAGGCGAGTACAAGGAACTGAGATTCAAAAAAATAATATGTGGGAGATAAACAAGCTTTGATATAAACCAAGATAATATAAATATTAATTAGAAACAACTTCGAATATGTTTGCCATTTCTTCATTTGATTTAATCTTAAATTGTAATTTACTGTAGGACAGTAATAATTATCATAAAAAAATAACTGACCTAAATAGATGCCAGAAAGAACCAGAAAGCCATAGAATATTAATTAATACATTATTTGTAACATATATATATATATATATTTAATTGAATAAATAATACATAAAATAGATGTGTGAATAAATTATACATTAAAACTATTATTATAGTTTAAGACAAACTCTTAACACTCATGTCATTATTGTGAAAGTCACCCTTAAAAGGAAACTGAAAACTAACTGGACGCTGGGAATCCCATGTAATCCATCCAAGAAATACTACCATCCAACAGCAAAATCAGCCAAAAGACAGAAATCAATCACCGGTATCTAAAAACATAAATCGCACAAACACGTCCATCACATCTGCGTTTTCCTCAGAGATTGTTTAGCTCAACCGTGTGAAAGGTCCAGGATCGCTCGCACATGTATGACTGAGTCCTGTTTAATAACCACAAAACATATGTTTAGGTGCCGAGCCAGACCACGTGGCTGTAAAGTCCACGGCTCGTGCCGGTGGAGACAAAACAATCAGCCAAGCTAGCTAAGCTAGTGCTAGTAATATGGCTGCCTCCACGCTCAACCATTCTGACCTTTGCAAGACATTGTTCAGTTTCTAATGTTTCAACATTGCGTCTTCCACTCATATTCGCATTTACTTTATAACATTTTGTCATAGGCGTTTGGTTTGCTGCGTTCTGTGTGCCTATTTCTCGTGGGGCTAATGTAGGTGAAAGGTCATTTCGGTGATTTAAGGCACAAATCCGCCCAATTGGAACATAATCGGGTTTTGTGGAAAATAGTACAACTGGTGTTCTGCGCATTAAGTGAGTCCCTTAACATTAAGTGAAGTCAATTAATTTGAGATGAAGCTTTGAAAAAAATTAACATGACGGTGAGCTAATGTGAGGGAGGGGTTGTTGTGTTTTCATCTGAGTGGTCGACACACGTGCAGAGTAGATCCCTGAAGGTCACACGAGCGCAGAGCGGTTAGCATACATGGGATAGGTCTTACCTAGAACATCGGCCGACCTGTGTCGCGCTATAAAGCAGGCATCATCTCCGTAGCACATCCCTTTCTTCAGGATTCCTTTACGAAAGTCTTTACCGAAGCCATAGCTGGCACTGATCAGGCTGTAGTCCCGACCATCCGTCTGAGACAGTCCGCCTAGGACAGCCCTGGCTACAAGTCTGCCATAAGACAGTACAGATAACATCCCCTAGCAAAGAGAAAGTTCGTTATGATAACAGCCAGAACACACTGTCCCTCTCTCACTGGCCCGACCACCTGCCTGCCTGCGAGTGCTCGGATAAGGTCCCGATTGACAGGTTTTATCCGACCATTAGCCCTCGGCTGGCCCGCTGCTGCGAAAAAACAACGTAGCCACAGTAGTTCGTGGACAGTCGCTTGTCGTCCTGGTAGCTGCTGTTTATGGGTCAGGTGTGTGTTCCGTAGACGCTGCAGTCCCCCCACTGGGCTCTCTCCGAACCGACATGTTTCTACCGGACACAAAGCTGCGAGTACATACGGGGGTTTGACCGTTTACAACCATTGCGTCACTGCCGTGTGCGTGCGTTAAGGTGGATCCGCTCTATCGCAAGCCTTATGGATTATAATTCTCCCACTTTTGAGCACGTCTGGTTATTTAACGGCGTCTTAATCGCCGTCTTTAAACTTAAAACGCCGAAAAAGCGGCAGAAATCCCTTCAGAACGCCGTATTGCACGTCGTTTCCATGTAGTCTTTCAGAGCAACGTAAAAAACGACGTTTTTTCTAGTCATTGAACGTCGCATTTTGGGTCCTCCTCAGAACGGTGCGTTTTTGACAGCTCAAAACGCCGTCTTTTACGGCGTTCTGTGACTTTCCCGACGGCGTAAAAGACGGCGTTTTGCAGGCCACTCCCAAAGGTTTTCTCAGCCTCTTATTTTAAACTTTTGATCGCCCAATCCACATAATACAGACAGTACTAGTTCATCCTAGGTGCTATTTCCTGGTTTCCTGAAGATGCTATTCTATGCTTAAATTCACCAAAATGACCTCATATATAGTACTGACTGTTGCATTAGCTCATGTTAAACATGATTTTATTACTGCTACCTTTATTGATATTAATAAAATGAAGACACTGACACAATCTGTATAAAAGCTGGTGTTTTTTTATTATCCTGGATCGTTTTGTCAGATGGAAGAAGTTTAAAGAGATGTTTAGCAGGGTGGGTTGAGTCCTTTTGGATGTTTCTGGTTTTCTGAAGGCAGCGAGTCGTGAAGATGTCATCCAGGGCAGGCAGGTGTGTGTGTGTGGTATTTTCTCTGCAGCTTTGATCACTAGTGTACGCTGTACCTCAGCGGTCTACAGAATGAGCACTTGGCTGTAACGTGTTGGTGCTGTAGGTGGAAATGTGGTTCCTGCAGTCGTCATCTCAGAAACTTCTAGTTCCTGAACCCCCCCCCCCCCCCCCCCCCCCCGAGTTACAAGGCATTTGGTTCCTACTAGAGACCACTGCCAAAGTGTTGATTAAATGAGTGAACGAACACAAAAATATCTATATTTGGGGGTGTTGAAACATGTTTCTTCATCACATATTGTGCTTTGTTTGACGATATAGATATTGTGGTAAATTGGACTGGACTGATGTGCTAACGGCTAGTCTGAGTGCAGCCAGACTAGCTCTTCACTTAAAGAAGTGGTACTTTTACTTTTCAGTTATTTAGAATTTCAAGAGATGCGCGAAATTAAGATATATTGAGTCATTATACTCTACATTTTATTTTAGATAAGTAAACCCAAAAAATATTTCTGATATCTCAACATAACTTTCAAATATGCAAAAAATAAAATAAAATTAAAAAGTATTCATTTGATAAATAAATACAGTTTCAATTCGTACAGTTATAATTTGAACAATGAGTTTTCTTCAGTCTGTGATGCTCAATGAGAGGTGTGGCAAGTGGGAAAACATCTTTCTCATTAAAAGTGAAAATAATAAGGGAACCAAACAAACAATAAAATGTCTCATCTGGGTTTAGTCTTTAACACTGTCATTATCTGTCACAATTTTAGAGAAAACTAATCCTCTTTTACCATTTTCGTTTGTTTAAGTTACCGGATTCTTTACTAGTTTGGGCACCATTTACAAGCAGATACTCATATATTGTTGTGTGAGAGACCATAAAACAAAAACAGCGGAACCAAATCACAATGGCGCAGGCCTGGCCTACAGTAGTGCACTTGTTGTGAACAACAGGATGTAACGGACCTTAATTCTAACACCATCTCTTAAAGGGACCGTAGAGGGTGCCTTTACACGCCGAATAGAGACAAAACAACGCCGATTAGTCTTTAAAACGTACATTTATTTGGCAAAAACATATTTATCCAAATATTATCTAGCCTGTATGTTAACTGATTGGCAATGTTTACTGAACTTTGGACTGGTGACAGGAGTTGGGCAAAATACGGAGCTGCGCAAAAATAGAGACAATTAATTAGCAAAACCCAGAACTGACATTATAAACCACGAGTGAAAAGACAAATAATTATAAAACAGCTCTTCAAATTAAACATCTGTGGTTATTGTGGTTTTGTCCATCCGTTTTGTCCATTAAAGTAACATCACAGAGTCCCCGCCTCCTCGCTCGTTCCTAAACGGTGGTTCCTGTAACCCAAAACAAGCGCACCATGAGCAGATGAAACCACCCTGAGCTAGCTCGGACTGAGCGCTGCGCGGTGAGAGGAAGGACAACAAACGCAGTTTCACCGAATTACAACGCATGTAATAAACATCAAATCATGGTAAGAAACGGAAACAAATTCTGTCCCGTTTAACGGCGAAGTAGACGTGGTTGTATTTGAGTCATAGAAAATAAAGCGGAACGCTCGTCTGTTTAAATAAGAAAATTATTAAAGGTGTGGGGCTGAAGCGGGACGGTGATGCAGTGGTAGTTCGGTAGTTCAGACGGAAAATCCCACATTTATGTTACATAAGTATTCGCTTATGGATGAACTGAAATAATGTAAGAGAATAACGAGAATAGTTTGTTCCAAAGGCTCAATTTAAACCCAGTGAGACCGGAGACGTGAATAGACTTTGTCATTAGGCCACATAACGTGTTCAACCACGGTTATACGATGTCTGGTGTGGTTTACTGACCATAAAACCAGATACTGCTGCCATTTAGCTTATAAAACACTCAAAAATAAATAGTCATTGTTTGATATTGTTTCTGTGAGAGTTCTAATTGTTCTGTGATGGTTTTCTTTCCAAGGCCATGCTGGGGAGGTTGTGTGAGATGGGACTTCTGTCTCTTCTTATTTTATCTCTCTTGAACCCTGATTTCACTTGGGCTAAAAAAGGTGGTGGCAGTAGTGGCGGCAGAAGCAAGACAAGCTCATCAAGCAAATGGGGGACACAATCAAAGCCTTCAAACTCTCAGCCAGGAAACTACCCCCGGCAGCCGCAGAGTCCCAATAACCCTTATCCTGCTGGAGGAAGCTATCCCCACCCAGGAACCGGGAACACCAATCCAGGTGGTTATCCCAGGCAGAATCCAAGTTATCCAAACCAAAATCCTGGAGGTTATCCAGCTGGTGGATACCCTGCAGGTGGAGGTTATCCTAATCAAAACCCAGGGAGAGGGAATTACCCAAATCAGAACCCGCCTGCTGGTGGATACCCAGCAGGAGGTGGCTACCCCAACCAAAATCCAGGCAGAGGGGGTTATCCTAACCAATACCCTGCTGGAGGATATCCTAACCAGTACCCTGCTGGAGGAAGTTACCCAAACCAGTATCCTGCAAGGAATTTTCCTAATCAGTATCCAGCTGCAGGAGGCTATCCTAACCAATACCCACCGAGGGGGGGTGGGAATCCAGGTGGTTACCCATACCAGTATCCAGGAGGAGGTTACCCAGTCAGGACCGGGAATACAGGACCCGGTTGGGGAGCACCTGGTGCAAATCCAGGAGGTTATCCTGGTGGAGGAATTGGTGGTTACCCCAACTGGAACCCCAATAATAAAATCTTGAGCCCAAGATTTGGTGGTGGAGGTTATGGCTACGGTGGCTATGGCATGGGTGGCTCCCCATTCTCTCGCTCCGTGCAGAGCATGGGATATCAGCCCAAATCTACAGGCTTTGCCAAGAAAGCCATGCTGGCAGCAGGTGTTGGTGCCGTGGCTGGAATGGCAGTTGGATATGGGCTAGGGCGCTTCCCTCGACCCCATTTCAACTTCCGCAACCCCGAAGAGGAATACTACTACAACAACTACATGTACCGCCGCTACGGTACCCAGTCAACAGATGAAAAAGATTATAGACGTGATTATGAGTACAAGCCTCCTCCGCGGGCAGAGTCGTATGAGAGCTTCATGAAACGCTGCATGAATAGCACCGAGGCCAGCAGCTCACCTGCTCCAAAGAGCGGAGCCGAGGAGGACGACGACACCGTCAGCATCGAGGAAATCGGGTACCCAGCCCTAATCGACCAGGTGAAGTCCCGGCGCTGTGTGGAGAAGTACATGGTCTACTCTGAGCAGTTTTTGCAAGAGCGAAAGTTTGAGCAACAAACTCAGCCGAGCGGTAGCAGCCCTGCGAGCTTTGCGGTGATGCAGCTGTTTACCTCTTGCTTTGTGCTGCTGTCCAGCATGCTCCTACTGCAGTGAGGGAGAGGCTTTCCTTGAACATACTTTCTAAATGGATTTCCTCTGCCTTCACAATAACCGCATGTTCAGTAAAAGCATAAATGCATTTTATCCCCTCTGTCTAAAAGCCAGCTTTTTTTCTTTCTCATGATAGAAACATTTGAAGTTGCTGGAGAATATCATGTCTGTGTCAATTTACAGTTTAAATCTGCCTGTTTAGTAAAGCAACTTTCACTTTTAAAATGCTGTCTGGACCACTGGGTTTGTGTTGCACTAGATTCCCAGAAATGTTTCTGCATTTCTTTCCTTTTGACCTCAGAATTGTTAATTGTTTGATTATTATGCACTTTTTATCCTAATAATATGAAATTAGAATTCACAAGTTTATTTATTTTTATTTTTTTATAATTTAATGAAAAAACTTTAACCTAATTTGTTTGGAATACTTGAAAGAAATGTTACGTCAATTTGTTAAAAAAAAAAGTGACAAAATGCAGGTTTGCCTGCATCTCACAGAATGTGTAATAACTTGGTGGCCATCTGAGAGGAATAGATTTTTAGAAGTCATTTTGTTTTAAAGGACATTATCAAAGCACTACAAAAAATTTTTGAAAAACGTTTTCAGAGTGTGGTAAAAAGCTCAAAGTGACGCAGATTTTTGTCTGATCAAGTTCCACATGACTCCAAAATCAAGCCAGGCCTCAAGGGATTAAATCTGGACTTAAAAAGAGTTACTTTGATCAGTTAAAGAGCAGAATACTGTCATCTGCAAAACAGTTGAAAGTCTTAGAATTTTCCATACAACATCAGTTTGGAAGCATAAAATAGGCAAGTCTCCTTGCCAAACATTAAAGGTGTGAAACACTGAAAAACATTTTTTTAAATCTTATTTCTGATTATTATTGGTCACTGAGTTGTTCATGCAGGCTGAACATGAACACAGTCTCCAACACCTATCTCCTGCTTTAGCTTCTGATAGAAAATAGACGGTGAAAATGTAGGATTAGAAAAGCCTGACAGATCTATGTCACACTGTCACATAACGTTCATGGACTCACCCATCTTGACTCAGACAGGGAAGGCTGTTGTTGGTTTAGTGTCCAAGAAACCCCAGAGAGCGTCTCGGCTAGCATTAGCAACTTCACCACATGGCAGAAGCTCCTCCAGGCTTGTGTTATTTGTGGGGATAAAAACATCAGCGTTGCAAGTCAGTAGTAGAGTCATACTGCTGTTATCCAATTCGAGGTGAGATGTCCAAATATCAGGAAACAAGACTCCAAAATCTGCCTTCTGCTGCTTACCTCCGCTCTGGCTTACTTCTACATGATAAATGATGTTGCAAATATATTGATTAAACAAGTGCTCAACACCTTTAATTACACGTTTCGAAAACAACTTTCCAAACATTTATCATCACTCTAAGCACACAGGACAAGGGAGGAATGGAGTCAGAATGGACCATGTGCTTAATCTAAACAAAAATGGCCTAAAAAGAAAACATGGCTTCTTTTGCATGTAATAACCTCAGATGGAGAAAACTGTTAAAACCGTTGCTGTCTTGTCTTGCTGCTGTAGGCGCTCTGTCCTTTGGTCGACTCTAATCTTTGATTCTTTATTAATTTGTGTGATCAAATGTGTTCATTTCTACTCCTTCCTTCTTTCTATAGATAAAGGTTAAAGTTTTATTTTTTCCTTTCTCAGATCATTCTGCCCTACCCTAACCCAAATGCCAGGTTGCTGTTGTTTTTGTAAATATCCTGTCATGTTTATCACATATAATTGAGATGATTTTTTAATTGCATTTCTTGGTATGTTGTGAAATTCTTTGTAAACGAGACCGTTTTCCAAGTATGTATCTGTACAGTAAATATTCAGGTGATTGTATGCATCCTTTCCATATTTCCCTTGTTTTTGGGTATAACATTGAATTAACCCAATTTCACATCCTATTTTACACTTTACCCAGTTTTACTGGGTTGATTTTTGCGGTTGCAGCTTATGTGAAACTACTATTTTGCTTTAGAGAACTCTGTAGAATATCTGTAAAGTGCACTTACTTCCCCCCCAGAACTGGATATTCTGTAACTGTGTTATCAAGTGTAGATGTGTGTATCCTTCTCTTTCCAGCAACAGTTGTAAACACTATATTACTGATCAACTGCTGTTACAAAGAGGATTTGTTATGAATGTTTATGTGTTAAATAAAATAAATTACAAAATAGTTAATCAGTCTCTTATTTAACAGTTAATAGTTTAAAAAAGTAAACTTTAAAGATTTTATTTATTTTTTGTAATTAAGAATAATTGATTTAACAAGCTTCACAGAGAAATCATCTGATAAAAAACTTTACCCCCGGCATGAATTAAAACGGCTGCAGGTTTCAGCCCAGACTAGAGACAGTGTTGTAAGCAGGGCCAGATTAACACTTTGTTGTACCCTGGGCAACAATATTAAAGGGCCCCATCATCATGACCCACCACAATATGGTCACATACAGAATATTTTACTGTAATATGCAGTAAATATACTCAAGGCTCTGACTCGGCTCTATGTCTGCTATCAAATAAATATGATTGTGTCCCACCTCTTTCAACTAAACACAACAAACCTATTACTTCTGATAAGCCTCGAAGCTTTTGAGATTGTTCATTTCCTCGCCAGAGGACACAAATGAATTCAGAAAGTAGGTAAAAATGCTACTAAATGTTAGCTTTGGGCAAATTTTAAGATCATCCTCCTACCCCTGCATTAGGCAGGCAGGAGTGTAAAGGTGTCCTGTTTCAGCTGTGACAGCTGGTGTTCACACAAGTCTTTCTTAAAATGAGACTTAGCACGAAGGGATCGCCTCAAACAAAGGCGGAGCGGAAGAAGTCAGTTGTATTTTTCAAACGAAGGGTTACGTGGGATAGGAGTTGGGTGGATAGGGGCTCCGTGCAAGACAATCACACTTCATAATTTAATAAACAGAATTTTTTGTTCAAAACTTTATTTAGATTCTTTTTCTTTTTGCTGACAGAATTTACAGAACAATTTAAAATTCTCTCATCCAGGCTGCAGTGAGAAAAGCCAGCACATGTCCAAAAGTGAGAAAGTGGTTGCTGCTTTTAGCAGGAGCGGCTCCTTTAACAAAAGCGCTCCACACAGACTGATTGGGATTTCTTTGGGCTTCCTGGTCATGAGCTTGTTGATGCTGCTCAGAGGCGGTTGTCTTATGCTTTCCAGTTTTATGTTTTGACTTTCCGAAGAACCCGAGTCCATAACCGGTTCCCGTTCCCCCTAACATGCCGGCGGCTGCTGCTCCAGCCCACTTTAGGCCTTGCTTGGAGAGGCCTCGACCATGTGAGGGAGATGCCTTTTCACCATCACTTTTCCCACTCGCTTTGGAGCTACCTCCTCGCTTGCTGTCAGCAGCTGGGCACAAAGCAGCCAAGAGCAACAACAAAAGCCAGAGCGAGAGAATCCTCTGCTGGGCAGCCATCAGGGAGCTGCAGACATAACAAAACATAACCAGAGTATCAAAGCCTTTTCAGATCGGAGCAATATAGCACCTTTTCAGGCAAGATTTCAAAATGAAAGAGGGAGATCTCTGTTGGCAGACATCCAAACTGGCTTTTGAGTAATTGTTCCTATACAAACAAAGTCACATGTTCACCACAGCTGACACAACAGGCATCCAGAACCATCCACTCGCTCTGGGATCACAAGGATTAGCTGAAGATCAGGTGATGCAGATTTATCCTATTCATAAGGCATTTGTTTATCCTGGCACAGTGCAACAATTAAACGAGTTAAAACATTAAACTCTACATGAATTATAGGGATTAGTGTGGAACCACACTCCAAAGGTTTACATGGAAAATGTTTGAAATCATTCAAAAACATTTTTGTAAATCACAAAGTATCTTAATTTATAAATGAGCTATATAACTTGTTATGATCAAAATGTATGTACATTTATTAATTCAAAATATAAATTCAATGTGAATCTAATAATGAAACAAACTAAAAATATCCATTCAAACCTAATCAGTTAAGAAACTTGCAAAATGAACAAATTATAATAATAAATATATAATAACATTTTTTTTTCATATTAAGCAATGACCAATACTGATGTTAATGTGTATCTAAAATAAAATCAGACATCTGTCGACTCAGGTTGTAATGGGTGGTGACAAATAAAATCTGCTGCTCACCTTTCTGACTGATCTTATCCTGCTGCAGCACTCGACCACCACAGTTCAGCAGTGCAGCAGGTTGGTGTTCATTATCATTTTCAAACTATCCAGTGAAGCTCCGCCCCCAAACAAACCTCTGCTGGTGGTTCTAGATGTTCAATAAAAGACCTCCAGAACAGGTTCAGTATTTCTGCTGATGGTGGACGTTTTCTCTCATTCAGCAAATAGAAAGCTGGTTTAAAACTGATTTCTCTGGATGGTGTTAATTTATTTAATAAAGGTTTAGATTTTTTTAAACAGGCATAACATGACTGCTTGTAGAGGCTGGGCAAAAGTGGATGCAGACAGCTTACAGTAGAATAAATTACTCTAATTTTACTACAAAACATCAACGTTTCTAGACTACTTACAGTAATTGAGAGCCAGCATCTTAACTTTGTAGTGTGAAATACCAGGAATGAGGAGAACCCAGAGTGATATAGATCCAAACATGACTATTCAGGCAAAACACTCAAGAACAACACAGAAAGAGTTTTTGTGTCAGTGGAGTCTTTGGAGGGAATATTCTGAACAACTTTGTTGAGCTATAACGATTTCAAACAGTGACTTGTCTTCTTAAACAGCGGCAGAAAACAAGTCGCTTAGAGCATTTGTCTCTCTTTTCTGCTTTAAAGTAACTATAGATAGTTGTTAAAACTTTAAGCTGGAGCTTTAACATTGATCTCAGTGATTGTTCAGTTAGAAACTTGACTAGATTCATATCTGACACCACTCTGCAGCCCTCTGCTGACCAAAAACCCACACTTGATAATTTTGTGGAGTGGGTGGGTGTCCTAGGGGGCGCTCGTTACCTGCTTTAGGGCTGTTAGCTGTAATTCCAGCGGTTTAGCATATTCAGTTTGCCGACCATCAAAAAAGGCACAAGAAATGGAAGATGTTCGCCTTTTCTGTTCATGGTGGAACCTGGAAGTAAAAGTAAGAGAGTAATGGATTTGGAGGCGAAGCAAATGGGCCATTCCCATCTGTACCGGGTCGGCCTGGGCCGGGTAGCGTAGGTTGTTTACATATCTGGGGGGCCTGGTATTTTTCCGGGCCAACCAAGGCTCATTCTCAGCCCTCTTCTCGAGGGGGTCTGCTTCAGGCCGACCAGGGCCAACACACCCACTGCTGACAGCAAATTCATACCTTCCATTAGAGCAAGCCTCTGATTGGTGGGTAGAATCAGCCCACATGGGCTTAAGGCAAGGATGTGTGGAATCAACCGGGCCAGGCTGGGGCCGACTGGGGCTACCCAGCCCGGGCCGACCCGGTACAGATGGGAATGGCCCAATAGAGCTAACCAGAATGAACATCGGTGTGGCCTACACTAGTTTTAGGGAGCTAAAGGAAGCTACTAAATCACAAACTGATGGTGACCTGGTTTTGTTGCTACTGGACTTGTAAGTTATAGTATTTTTAGTCCAACAGATATTTTTACCTCATGGTTTATTTTAGTATTAGTTGTCTCGTGTTGTTAGCACTTTGTTAGCACTAGCTACAGCAGGCTGCAGCAGGGTTGTTTTCCAACAGTTGTAATTCCACTTTCAAACAGTAGGGCGGAGGAGCAGCAAACAGTCTAGTGTTACTTTAAAGGTGCAGTATGTAAGAATATAGTGCAAATTTTACAGTAAGAAAATCCCAAAAGAGTCTAATGTTTCAGTCATTTTGGAAGGAAGGTTATGCTGAAACGTATTTCATACCCAGCTGGCTGTGGGGATTGTCAGATTTTCTCCTTTCAAAACAACGGAATGAGGGAACGTAACTACTGGTAACCATCAGTGAGCGTATTGTAATTTTATGACATCTGGCAAAAAGCTCCAGAGTTTTTAAAAGTGAATGCAGTAACCAAAATTTACCACAGGATGTCCTTTTTACTTCATTTCTACACAATGCACCTTTAATCACATTTATTTGATAGTTGTTTTAGATATAGACTGTTTTTACAAAACATTTTGAAGCATTGTTTTAATCAATAATTTTTCCTTCTGTACCATTGTTGTTGTGTTTTACATGATTGGAAAGATTGGTTAGAGCTGTTGCCTTGTAGCAAGAAGGTCCTGGGTTCGCTTCCCGGCCATGGGATCTTTCTGTCAGGTACTGGGTTTGTGGGTTCACATTTCCTCTTCACAGGTTGTTGGAGGGCTAGGGAGACTCATAAGGAGACTCCATCCAGCTAATTACCTCGGCTGCAGAGTCACCCTTCTCACCTGCAGCCCATCATGTAATTAGACGGGAGGAATAAAGGAGCCAGTGAACCAGCCACTCAGCGCCAGATTGTTTGCCTTAGTGGTAACGTCCAGCCACCTGAATCTGTTCCTGTTTTATTCTAGTCTGTTCCCTGAAACCTCTGTCTGTCATCACAGGATCCCTAGAACCCGTTCTGGATTACACCTTTATGTGGAAGTCTCATACCAGCCTCTGCAGCTCCCGGATCTCCTGAACCACGGCTGAATCCTCCCTGGCTCTGTTCTCCTCCCGTGCGTCTCCTGTTCACCCTCCAACAACCCGCCTCACTTCTCCGAACCTCCACATCTACCCACAGCCCCGGTACCGGCTCACCTCTCCCACGCTCCGCTACAACCAAATCTCAGTAAGAACTCTCCCCACTATCTACATAAATATCTCCCCGTCCCGATCATCATTTCATGTGTTATTTCTTCCAGTGATCCAATCTCTAGCTCCGGAACCAGCCCATCCCTGCCAGCCTCCGCTCACCTCTAAACTATTTTTTACTACATCTCCTGGTCTCTTGAGAGTCATCTTGTATGTGGGTCAAATATCTAAATAAAGAAAAAACCATGACACTTTCTGCATGGAGTTTGCATTTTCTCCCTGTGCCTGCGTGGATTCTCTCCGGGTGCTCCGGCTTCCTCCCGCAGTCCAAAAACATGACTGTTAGGTTGATTGGTCTGTCCAAATTGTCCTTAAGTGTGAGTGTGTGTGTGTGTGCGTGCATGATTGTTTGTCCTGTGTGTCTCTGTGTTGCCCTGCGATGGACTGGCTCTCAGGGTGTACCCCGCCTGATTGCCCGTTGACCGCTGGAGATAGGCACCAGCGCCCCCCCCCCCCCCCCCCCCCCCTCAATTTATAATCTATCTATAAAATGTGCAGCTAAACATGTGGTTAGCACTCCACTAAAAACCTTAAATGCCTGGCTCCACTTTGCACATTTAGCATCTCAGTAGTGAAAAGTTTTGTTTTGCCTGAGGTAGAAACTACACAGTACCATCACATGGCCTCCAAACGTCACTTCCATTGGGTTCCCAACAGCCTCTGATCTTGACTATAAATCTCTGGTTCATGGTTCCTCAGTGAAGCAATGGTGAAAAACTGATCTTTTAGGGGTGCAGTAGTACTAATATATCCTCGTCACAAACTGTTGTTGACTTCACTGGGATCAGACAACTTGGTCCTAAGTGTGCTAAAAGTATAAAATGGTGGTTCCACACTACAAACAGGAACAGATACAGACAAAGCATCTTCCTGAACTTAATCTGTTTATATGGGGCCAACTAAACTCAACAAAGGTGCAGAACCCATGCAGACCAGGCCTGTCAATCAGGTCATTTCACAGATCTTAGACGCAGCTGGTCCTTGTGGCAACTGATCCTACAAATTATATTATGCTCATCTGAAGGATTTAACACCTTTAGATCAACAACCAAACATAAACAGCATGGATGGCCATTATTATTGGCCGATATTGGCATAAAAATGTAATATCAAAAATGATCAGTATCAAGTTTTACCTTTTTAACAACACAACTTTTACACACCATGCACAGAATCCACATCAAACCCTTCAGCTACTTCTCCTCTCACTCAAAATGCCAAGGTATGACAGATCCAATGTTTGTTTGTGAGAAATTGGGTTTGTTTTGTACAACTAGTTTAACATTAATTGAAGTGGTTGCCACATCATTATCACAGATAATGTGATGTACATTGGTATAGATTCATATCAGTATTGTGTAAGAGTTACACCAAATCTATATGTTGGTAAAAAGGCTGATATTATAAATCTCTAGTAAACACTGAACAAAGTTCAGCAGTAGAACTGGACCTAAATTAGCTGCCTTTAGGTGAGCTGAGAATTTTTATATTTTTCACAAGATGAGTGAAATATTCCCACTCACTACTTTTCACAGAAATTTTTTTTAAAAGCACAGAGTATTTCACATCTCATTGTTTTTAATCTCAGAAAACCCTTGTGGTCATCCGACAGTGACAGTACCGCTGTGCAGAAATAATACTTCATGCAAAGAAACATTACTTTGTATGATGATTTGGTAAATATTGCACATTTCCAGTTTGATTGGAAATACAGTTGCCTTAAATAGTTTTTATTACTGTGTGGTGTATAATTTTTGTTCATCAAAGTCTCATTTTGGAGACAACTGAGGTCATTCAGGCCCAGCAGATTGAGGCTGGAAGCACAGGGAGATGTTTCTGGTCCGATTTTCTTGACAAAAACTAGATGACATTCTCAAAGAGCTGCATGGATGCCATAATACTTTCATCCTGTTGAGAGAAGAATGAAAAAATGTTCAAAAATTGCATGAATTTAGTCAATCCAGGTGCGGAAAGTTTTGTTGACGAGGAATCAACCTTTTGGCAGATTTCTATGAATTCATCTATTGTCACAACTCCATCTCTGTTACGATCCATTTTCTGTAAAAAAAAAGAAAAAAAGTATAACTTTACGCTTGGATATAGAATATCTCAGCAATCCCTGCACACCATAATACAGTCGATTGGATGGAATCAGCGATTACTTTCTCTTTGTCTCCATCTGACCACTATTTCCTCTTTTTAATGATTGCCACAATCTCTCCGTGGATCTACCACATACACTGAATTTGTAGCATTTTTTCGTGCCTCTGTTACTCACAAGCGCCTCAGTTTCAGTTTCCAGAAAAACTGTGTTTTCTAGATCTCTCTGTTGCCGAGAACATCACCCACATTGCTGCGTGGGAATTTTGAGTATAAGGAGGAAAAATGGGTGAAGTGCCTTTTCTGAAATATGTATTTTCAAACGAAAGAAGTTAATTTTAAGACGATTAATGATATGTATTAATGCTCTGAATGTTTTAGACTATGATTTAATGTGAACAGCAATGAAAGAAAATTTTGTCAATTGTTTGTTTGAAGGTTGTTAATAAAGATTTTTAGTAGCACAAACAGTGACCAGCCTCCCGTATGTGTTGTGGTCGATGACGCAATGCTCACTGTCCCAATTCGGCACTTGTGTACTATACACTCTAAAAGCCTTTCTGCACACTTCCTCCAAGTGCACTTCACAGAAAACCATAGGGCGCAGTGCCAGTATTCGGATTGGGCCCAAAATCTGCCGACTGAAGCTACTTTCTCATCCAGCTGACTTGTACTTCCTGATTCAGGTGCATCTGAGCAGTTTTTTCACGAGTATGACTTACAAGCAGAGCCGGATTAACGCAAAGGCAAAGTAGGCACATGCCTAGGGCCTGATTGGCTGGATGGGGCCCAGACAGAGGAACAAAATTATAAATAAATAAATTAAAAATTAAACACGACACGACTTATTTTGGCATACAAACAACCAATTTGTAACCAAAAACTAGGCTATGTAAAATGTGAATGAACTTTTATAAGTAAATTTTGTAAGTTTCAGATTTCAATTCATTACATAACATCGATGGAGGGTGGGGGGTGGGGGGGGGGGGGGGTGGGGGGGGGGGGGGGGTTGGGGGCCCTAAAAATGCAGCCTGCCTAGTGTAGTCCATTTATTTAATCCGGCTCTGCTTACAAGGCAATCATTCCTACTAGAGACCACTGCAAATGTATTGATTAAAAATAAGCCTAATTAATTGATGTTGATGAATTCACAGGAAGCGGCATGCTGACCAATCACAAGCTCTGTCTCCATCTCTTTTGACGGATAGGTAAAAATTTGGGCATGTCTCCGTCACCCTCTGCGAGCCTGTCGGACAGCTCCTGTGCCGATGCATAATGGCGAGTATTTTCTGCCACAGATTACCAGCCTATAAGCGTTGCATGTTGCATTTCCGGCCACAAATAAAACGCTTGCTGCGCATCTTTTCACTCCTCCAGTCATGAGAGAATTAGACGTTCATGTTTTTAGAGTTTTTTCGCGAGGTATTCTTCAAGCTTCTCCGTGTCTGCCGCTTGTTATCCTTGGCTCTCTTTATGTTTTTGAGGGCGCAATGGCGGCGCTGTAGACAACAGCGGCGTCCTGACCAATCACAAGCTTGCATTGTCTGTCTCGACCCGACTGACGGATGTTTAGAAAAGAGAGCTTGACTCCATCCGTCCTTGCGGAGCTCTCTGGCAGGCCCGCAAGGACGTTGCATGTCTCCGCACTGACGCAGACGGAGAAGCATGAATCAGGCTTTAGGCTACCGCCCCTGCGACCCAACTCCGGATAAGCGGAAGAAAATGGATGGACGGATGGATGGATGGATGGATGAATGGATGGATGGATGAATGGATGAAAAATGAAAAAGGAAAACTTTTATTTTGATATCTGAACTTACATTTAAACTAGTACTATTTTAATTTCAGATACGTAGAACATTAGTGTTGTGCTGCAAACCCACTGGCAAACACATGAATGGAAAAAGTAACATCATTTGTCCTATAGAAGAATTACATTTAAGATATCTGAAGTGTTCATTGTGAATAGTAAGAATGTTACTAAGAAAGCTGGAATATTAATTTTTAATTTTATTTATTTAGCCTTTATTTATCCAGGTAAACTGTTTGAGAACCACTTCTCATGTACAAACAGGACCTGTTGAACTGGCTGAATAAATAAGTAAAACAGACTGTGTATACAAAATAAAATAAAGCACAAACTTTTACTGCAGATTGGAATGGCTAGTCTGCTCAAAGATTATTGATGTGTGTGGTGAATGAAAGAGATTAATCCAACCAAATGCCTAGATATTTATAAGTTTTGACATGTTCCAGAACCATGTCGTTCATACAAGTAATTGTGGGTGGAATTCAGACAATATGTCTTCAGCTGAATAGCATGCACTTGGTCTTAGTGATGTTAAGACAGAGGCAGAGATTATCAAAAAACTGCTCTAAGCTGAGTTGAAGACTGGAGGCCGTAGTATGGGGAGAGGGACCAACTGCATACAGAATGGTGTCATCTGCATAGAGGTGAATCCGGGAGGTGCCAGCAACCTCTGCTATATTATTGATATAGATAGAAAAAGCATAGGGCCCAGAATGGAGCCTTGAGGCACACCTTGAGATACAATTAGTGGATCTAACACAATGTCCTCCACCTTTGATTGCTGGACACGGTTGGTAAGATAACTGGCAAACCAGTTACAACTGGAAGTGGACAGACTAATATTGGACAGACTTTGTAAAAGATGTTGTGATCAATAGAGTCAAAGGCCTTGGATAGGCCTATGAATTCAATTCAAAAATACTTTATTAATCCCAGAGGGAAATTGATTAAGGTGGCGATACAGACCTGCTTACTATCTAATGCTGTAATTATGTCATTTAGTACCTTTGTGGTGGCTGTTATACACAAATGTCCTGTCCAAAAACCAGAAAGAATGTCAGACAGGTAGTGACTTTTGTCCAGACATTTTTTAAATTAAAAATTACTTGGAATAACAGGTTCATCGCTATCTGGAATACATATCCAATACCCCCCAACAAAGTGAAAAGTCCACATTAGACCTTTTCAAGGATACCTGTTGACATCTGTTTTTGCAATTTTGACTAATAATACTATTTGAACTGGGATAAATTACTTCACAGTAAAATAGGGATATAACAAAGAGGTGTGGTTGTTAATTAAATGTTAAAATGGTTCATTAAATCAAATTCAGTCCATAGCCACCTGCTGGCATTTTGATTATCAACAAGAATAAAAATAAAAACAGGCAATCAAAAGTTAAATGGAATACCGTATTTATTTATCTACGGGAAGCATCGTGTCCTGCCCACTTTTTTATGCTTCTGATGCCCATGGTTCCTCACCATTAACCAAATACTGCATCAAACTCACTGTTCTCTTGAATCAGATAAAAAACAGTTGGATTTCGTTTACCTGGAAGAATTTCTCAACATGCTCAAAGGGAGAATCTTCCCGTAGGCTGGGTAAAGTGTACCTGCCCATCATGTCATAAATGGATGTCATTATTGCCAACATTTCCTGTAGGAAACATGACAGCAGACTTGTGTTAAAATAAAAACACAGACAACTAGTTTTAGTTTCCCTTCATCAATATCGTTACCTCCTTTGTAACGTAGCCATCCTTGTTGATGTCGTAGAGATTAAAAGCCCAACGAAGTTTCTCTGTGACAGACCCTCTGAGTAAAACAGACAGGCCTATCACAAAGTCCTGTAGACATATTTAACAGTTAATTAGCTGCTTTATTAGAATGAAAACACTTGTTTTTAAAACTATTTGATATAATAAAATGTACCTCAAATCGAATGGAACCATTTCTATCCATGTCAAAGGCGTTAAACAAGAAATGTGCATATGTTGTTGCATCTGAAAAGAAACACAAAATAGATAACTAACCAACCATTAAACTGGACTTTTATAAAATTGTGCACCAAGCCTCAGTTTTACCTCCTTGAGGGAAAAACTGTGAGTAAATCAGTTTGAATGTTTCTTCATCCACCAACCCACTGGGACACTCCTGTTGACAGAAAAGGACCACAACTGTTATACAAGCATTTAGCAAATTGTCTTTCCTTTCATTTTTAAACATTTAAATTACGTCATAATTAGATCATTAAAATTACGTAATTTCTTGAAGGAAGAGAATTCTAACCGATCCAATCAGCGCTGAGCAGCGTACGTCACACACCACATCTCTCAGTCTCTCATAAACCACGAAGCTCTTTCCTCTGTTCTAAATGACTTGAACATGTCTTCAAAACCACAACAAGAAGAAGAGCTAAAAACCTTTCTTCTAAAGAAAGATGTTTGTATCGTCGCCGAATGCCATCTTTGACTACAGCTAAAAAAAACTACAGTGTTGGGTAATTTCCGCCTTTTTTCTGATTGGTTATTTTTGAGCTGGCTAGTCCCGCCCCTCATGGTGCTCTCCTTTGAGTATCCAGACTTGTCCTCTGTGTAGAGTAGAGAGAGGGTGAGTCTGGCAGGCCAGGCTAAATAATGGGATCCTTTGTTTATTAATGCTTAAAGAGAGACAGCACACCATCAGAAAATGCAACTCCACTCCTAGTCAAGATCATCGACATATATACATCAAGATTAGAAAAATGCCATGAAAGTGGGTGTTGCCAGGAGGCACAGAGTGGCATGGCCAAGTGTGGGGAATTTCCATTCTGAATAATGCACTAAGCAATGTTAATAAAGGGACCCTTATTGTAAAGTGTTACCAAACTTTTCTAATATTCCTAAACCATTTTACTATGCGCTACTGCTTTTTTTATGTACATGTTGAGTCCTAAAGCCACAGCACCATGCACTTATGCTGAGAATTTAGTTAAGTTAGTTGAGATATGTGTTGTGGCTCGTAGCTCACATCTTACTAAATTGTAGCTGAAATTCAGCCCTATTTTTATAGTCTAAACTCCTGAAATCAGGCTACCAAAGTGACTCAGCTGCAGATAAACATCCAGTGACTTCTTTCAGAAAATTCCTCTAAAATCAGCCCAGTCTTGGGTTAGGGTTAAAACTAAAATCACACAAAAACTACCGAAAGACTATTAAGTGTAATATACAGCATCAAGCCTTAGTAACAACATCCAGGTAAAAAATCCTAAAGTTGGTTAATTTTATTCTTAAATAATGCCACAATGTCACTGTTGTTATTCTGACTGTTTTCATACATTTTTGAAGCCTCTGTAAAGCGACTGCAGCTCCTTCCTAGTGAACTTGGTCTGTGCTTGGAGCTGATCGAGGCCCTCCGGCTGGTGACGCACCATGGAAAGTTCGAAGTCGTTGTCACTGCTGTCTGTTGGATGGAAACAAAACAAATGGGGGGAGAAGGGAGGGAGGAAAGAGGGAGGAAACACCAGTAAGACAGGAAAGAAAGTAAAAGAAAAGAAGAGGACTGGGGTGGAGTGTAAAAGACTGGAAAATCATAAGGACACAAAAGACACCCACCATCTTCAGACAAATGAGCATAAAGTTCAAAAGAAAAATGGAGAGATTTCAGAAGGAAAGGAGGGATAAGGAGATGGGTGAGAGATACAGCGGCATGAGAAGAATATACAGTTTCAGAAAAGAGCAGGACTTTATAAAAATAAGACAAAATGTTAACAAACAAATAAAAGAATTATTAAAAATATATAAGTATGGGAAAATTAAAAGGATGTTTTGTTTGCAGATGATACAACATTGTTTTATTCAGGGTCTGATATAAATGAAGTAACTCATGTGATAAATATTGAACTGATAAAAGTTAAAAACTGGTTTGATATCAATAAATTAACACTTAATCTTAAAAAAACTAATTTCATTCTATTTAATGACAAAGAAAATATAGACGTAATATTAAAAATAGATAACATGGAAATTCAAAGGGTAAAAGAAATCAAATTTTTGGGAGTAATGATTGATGAAGCTCTAAGCTGGAAATCACATATAGGCTATATAAAAGGTAAAATGGCCAAAGCCATTGCAGTATTATATAGCGTAAAGTTTCTACTTAATAGTGAAGGATTGTTATTACTATACAATGCACTGATTCTGCCATACTTAAATTATTGTGTAGAAATCTGGGGAACTGCATATAGAACGTATACACAACCTTTGTTTGTTTTGCAGAAAAGAGCAATGAGAATTATAGACAACACTCATAGTACAGCTCCATCTAACCCATTATTTATAAAATATAAAGTAATTAAATTTCATGATTTGGTCAACTGGAGAATATTGCATATAATGTATAAAGCAAATAAAGGTACATTGCCAAAGAATATTCAGCATATATTTGAAAAGAGAGATAGCAGTTATTCGTTGAAGGGATTTGAAATCTTCAAAAAACCTAGATTTAGAACAAGAATGAAGGAAATGAGCATATCTGTGAATGGTGTGAAGTTGTGGAATTGCCTGGACAGAGAATGGAAAGAGTCAAGAACTCTAAAAGTGTTCAGTCTACACATTAAATCACGTGTGTTGAGTGGATATGACAACGGACAATTGATGTGGACATAATAATTAACAAATGTGAACAGTTACGGGACTGAAAGAACTGGTGAGGGACTGCACAAATATAAATTGATATTTAAGTTTAAAAAAGGGGGCAGAAATAATAAGATTTTTCTTCTATCTGCTCCCTTTCATTCAAATATATATTGTGTTTTCATGAATATTGTTTAGTATCTGTTGTGTTATTTTTTTATTGAATGAAATAAAGATAATAATAATAATAATAAGTGAGCTGAAATGGCTCATTCTGGAAGGTATTGAAAATTTCAAAAATAAAATGACAGAAATGACCTTATGTGAGAGGGATTTAGGGCTAATACCTTCAGCTTTTTTATTCAACATAGAACTATTATAACCTTTAAATAAGTTGCATTTTTGATCGCGGCGAATAGATTTTGTGAACAAAAACTAAATGAAAACTTCTATTTGTACTCCTATTAAAGACTAAATTATGACAAATATTGACCAACATTTTTGTCGACGAATAAAAGACGACTACAAAAATTGACAGAAACAAAAATCCAATCAGAAAACAGAAAAGGTGGGACAACGAAAAAAAAAAACAATCAGCAAATGGAACATAAGGGACTGGACAAAAAAAGAACCAACCAGAGTTTGAAGACGGTCGCTGTTTGAACAATCTACTTGTAACCACAGACATAATTTATTGATGTCAATGCCGGTAATAGTTGAACTATCTAGTCTAAAAGGAGAAAATGTCCACGGCTAAGAGGAAAAGTATTAAATGTGAAAATCTGAAATGTATTTGGTGAGAACACATCTGGGGTTTCCCCTGGTTTTAAAAGTGTTACCGTAGTAGTTGTGCACATTGGTGGGATTGGGAGAGAAGTGGATTGATGGAGTCGAATCAAACTGAATGCAATTGTTTTTGTGGCACTTCTATTGTAATGTTATCAGTGTTCTAGCAGCCCAGAAAAACATTAAAGTTGTCAGGATCTGCTCGACCCCTCTGACTCTGTCTGTTTACCCCTAATTAGTTGTTTATTGGGCTCACCTGCCCCTTGTTATCCTGCCCATGTGTTTCTGATTATCCTTGTGTATTTATACCCCCTGTTTTGCACTTGTCTTTTGTCAGGTGATTGTTGTGTTTTCACCCTGTTACATTGCTCCTGGTTTCATCCTACCTGCCATTTTTCATCAAATCCATTTATTTTACCTGAGCTGCATTTCTGCCTCCTGGTCCAGCTCCACCACACATGGCTCCACCACCATCTACACTGCACCGTTACACAAGTTGTCCACCTTGGTAAATCAGTGCAGGAAAAACCCTAATAAATGCACCTGAAATAATTTCTTGTTGAGTTTACCTTCTTGCATTATTATAGTAACATATTTAAATATTTTGATTGTATGATGTCATCCACATCATACAAATTTGTTTATTTTATTAATGAGAGGCACAAATTCAAACTGTCAGTGTTTTTGTTATTTTTCTATTTATATTATTAAAACAATTGTATAGTTTAATTGATCCAAAGTGTGAAATGTGAATTTTACCAATTAACAGTGTCAATTAGATGTAGTTAACATTTCCAGTTAACAAGTAGAAAATTATTACATCAGAAGAAAAATGCTTATATTTCAGTCAACTGAAATTAAAAGGAATTTCAGTCAAAAGACAAAAATTAAATTATAATTTCTTGTCAAAATTACCACAGTTAACGAATGAACATCTGAAATCCCAATGCACTTGCGCAACTCACTCCACATAGAACAGTGGGGCGCAGACACTCTGGCCCCAAGCTAAGATCATCTAATAAAAATATTACAACAGCGCATGTGAAGTGCTCTTTTAGCATGCATTCTCATTGTAGATATCTTTCTGTCACACCTGACTTTTCATTTCTTACAATTAAAAACAATCTCTACAGTCAGGGATTACTTATGATTTTCAAGGATTAATTGTTGGACATTTTGCTAATGATCACTGGGTAATCTTTTAGCAGATGGGTCATACAGCCTTTAACAGTTTATTAAAATTTACAAACACATTTACTGTATTTTATACTTTTGAGGATATGCATTGCTCACAGAGAGCAGAGTTTCAGAATCAAAAGTTTCAGACAAGTTTGCACTAAGAGTACAACACATAGTTTAATTTAACGCAACTTTAGGTACCCTGTAAAGCAATTACTCTGGGTTGTATTTTACGAAGAACAGCTCCTACTAATTACTGAAAAATTATTTCACAAAATACACTTTTAGCAGGAGAGAACAGTAAACAACCGACAAGAGAAAAATGATTGCCCTTTTTCATTTTGAGTCACAATAGCATCAAATCTTACTCCTTTGCCACAATACAAGGAGATATGGAGAGAAACAATTATTACACTTATTGTTTAATAAAAAACAACACAATAAGCCAGTTCATGTGTTCATTTTGTTTAATTTCTGCCCCAAATGAATCAAACCCCATTTTTTATCCTACCTTCCAGTGACAACGGTTCCCAAATCCCAAACTGTTTGAGGACAACGATAAATAGTCCAACAACCGCAGCAATGGCGAATACTTCCATGCCGTCCAAACCCATCGTTGACTTGCAGAAGAGATCACTCGTGCAAAAGTTCTTTAACAAAGTTAAACGTATCCGACGCTTCTCTTGTTCTGATCGGTTGGATGCCTCTGAGGGAGCAGCTTCCTTCTGCAAACATCACCTAACATCTGTCACCTCTTTCATCCATCAGCATCCTTCACCTCATGGCTGGAGTTTGCACCAGCATCAGCAACTATGACCTGACTTAAACCACCAACCAGTAAAGGAAAAAGTAAACAAGTCTGACTCTTTCACCATATGAAAGGCTCCTCTAGGTTTTCCAGCATTTTTCCATCTTAGATTCAGATCCCGGTTTGTTTTAGGTCCTCCTGGCTCCACGTCTCTCCCGAGCAGCACGTGTGTAGTCACATGTGTGTTTGAGACTGGTGCTGATGTGATTGGGAAGTTTTTTTTATACTGAAGGAATCTCTCTACTAATGGTCTCTGATTGACAGTCAGATCTGTCTTTATAAGCTCAGTCATCTTAAGTGATGCAAAACTTTAAAACCAGGCATTGATCCACATCTGCTGATGGCAGGGATACGAGCAGCACTTAGAGTAAATGAGTCTGCTCAACCCTGGAGAAGCTTGTATCTTCTGACGTAGTCAGTGACTCTCACTCTTAATAAGTCAAACGGTTTTTAATTAGACCGTGCAAACTTTGAAACCACCATAACTGCAAAAGCATTGTTTTACTAAGTTGAAATGAGTTAAAAATCACCTCTGACGTGAAAAGTTACACACGCGTATTGTTGCCGATTTAAAAGTCCTCGATGCCCTGCTCAGCCTCTCTGTGATAAAGTTGGGGTGGGGGACGGTGGAGGTAAAGAAGAATGCGAGCATAGCTTACAAATGATGAGTCTGCAGAACTTAATGGACTCAGTTTAAGTATCGGGGAGTGGAAAGCTAATCAATCACAGGGAGTTAAAATATTCGTCTGGGAACGGGTGGAGAAAGTGAACCATGTGTGCATTTTTATGGAGTTTATGGAAGTTAGAAATTTCATAAAAATCTGCCAGGGAGCTGCGTTTTAATTATAAAAATGCAAAATAAATGCCAATATTTCTAAGAAATATGAAGGGCCAAACACCTGAAGGAGGATACAGTGGGTGTGTGCATTGTAAATGGCAAAAAGCTCTATGCGTTAGTGATTCCTTAGCTTCTTCTCCACCAAAATAATCAAATTTCTATTTTTGTGTTTTGCTTTTCAATAAAGGTTTGCCTGCAAACCCTCCAGCATTGCTATCGCTTCACCTACAGAACCATCCTTGAATCCCTCTGTACTGAAAATGAGTCTAGAGTGTGAGGAGACTGCAGAATCAGGCAGGATCTGGTACTCCAGACATCAAAACTAGTTTCTGCCTGCTTTTGTTCACTTTACAGCCAACATGTGTCCAAGTTTAGCTTCCACACAGAGGATGGTGCATTAAAATTATGCATAAATATGCAGAATGGATACACTCATGTGGTAACAAGCCATAAAAAAATAATGCAACATTGTGCTGTTTAATGCACCTGAAGTGCTGATCCATACCTCAGACGGGACCGAGGTGACCTGTGCATGCAGAGATGCAGGCGGTGCAGCCCTCAGCAGGGTTTAATGACTGCAGACTAAGCAGCATTACAGCTGAAAGACTGCTCAGCGCAGAAATACTTGTTGTCACATATTATACCCATGGCTTTGTTTTATTCTGTTTTGTTTACAAGATCAAAGAAAGTCAAGAGGTCCTGCTTATTGAAATTAAGGAAACAAACATAGCAGGAGAAAAAGCCAAATTTAAACTGCAGTCAAACAATCTCTAAATGAGCAAAGTTAATGCTAACACAAACAAACAAACAAACAAACTAACAAACACTTTTAATCAGGGGTGTCAAACTCATTTTAGCTCAAGGGCCACATTGAGGGAAATCTAGTCCCAAGTGGGCCGGACCGGTAAATAAAAAAAAAAACTTCAGATTGTTTTCTTTGTTTTAATACAATCAATAAGAAACAAGTCTGGAGCCTGAGGACAGTGTAGTACAAGTACAACACCTGAAGTGTACTTGAAAATTTAAAAAAAAAAAAAAAATCAATTCATAATAAAAAATTCCTTAGTGATTCAAAGAGCTTACAGATCACATGGCAAGATCAGTTCCATGCAGCACTTAAAGTATATTTGACTCATTTTACTTTACATCTTTTAGCTTTCACCAGAACATCAATATCAGAAGTCACATCCTGAGTGGCGGCCAACTTCAGGATGTGATTCAAGTTCTTGTGTGAGCCTTGAGCACAGCTTTGTTTTATTTATACTCGTTACAGAGAAAACTTGCTCACAAAGATAAGTTTATTTTCACTCTACATTGTAAAGTATGAAAATAAAGTTTTCACAACCATCTCGCGGGCCGGATTTAACCTGCTTGCGGGCCGCATCCGGCCCGCGGGCCGCATATTTAACACCCCTGCTTTTAATCCTTCAAGAGTCAAACCAGAAAAAACAACAATGAAAAAATGCTGTGTTTACAGTTTTTATCTATTTTGGGCATCAAGGATCATAAAGTAATATGATGTAAAAATCTGTTCGTTCCTTCCTTCCATCCTTCCCTCCCTCCCTCCCATCCATCTATCCATCCATCCATCCATCCATCCTGCCTTCCTTCCTTCCTTCCTTCCTTCCTTCCTTCGTTCATTTGTTCATTTGTTCATTCATATGCTCATTCATTCATTCATTCATTCATTCATTTCATTCATTCATTCATTATTTTGTGAACTGCATAAATTCCTGAGCAATGGGAACATCCTGGACAAGTCTTCACTCCATCACAGGGACACACAGAGACAACCAATCAGTCACACACACACTCGCTCAAATAACTCTTATTTAATACAGATTAAGTAATAATGTAATTTAATAAATATTAAACACATTGTAGCCTGGGGGTGGGGTTGCCAAACACAGGCACCACCGATCCCCCTGACTGCCAGCAGGCGGGGTGTGTGTGTGTGTGTGTGTGTGTGTGTGTGTGTGTGTGTATGAGTGTGTCGCTCAAGAACACAATGACTGAGAAGGTTGGAGCAGGTGCTCAAACTAGCAACCCACTAGTTACAGGAGTGATGCTCAACTCCCGGTTTCCTACAAGTGAAGTGGGGCATAGGTATTAGAAGACAGCATTGGGGTGCAAACCCATGGTCCCATAACAAGTACCCCCCCCCCCCCCCCACACACACACACACCAACATGACAACAAGATTACAACTGCGTGCAATATCCAGCCCACTGAACGAGGCATGTCCAACCATGTGCTGCACTATTCTATGTCTGTTTGAATTAAAGATCCCTTACCTGTGATCCCATATAGAGTTTAACAACGTTATTCCTGCATCATAGTTTTTTTTATCAGGGTTTCAAACTCTAAGCATTTCAGTCAAAGTTCCAGGGGAGGAAGTGGAGTCCAGGGGGACGAGCCTCAATAGAATCACACCTGAGCGACGTGAGAGTTAGAAGCATCTGATTTCAGAAAGTGCAACAACAGATAAATACCACTAGATGGCAACAAATATTCCATCAAATGGAGAAAAATGTCACAAACAGGATTAGCAGATTCTGTATTAAACTACAATCATATTACAAGTAACAAAAATACATGAATAATAATAATAATAATAAATAATAATAATAATAATAATAATTTAGTTTTCTATTATTCTGTTGATTAAAAATTATTGATCCTGCTCCTATTTGTGCTGAACAATCTTTAATAAAAGACGGTAAACAACAGGTGAGAAAGAGATATGCTATTAGCCATTTGTTAAATTTAAAATAAACCAAGAGGTAATAAAAAATGCAGGAGCAGATTAAGAGTCGTCTGTGTGCATGTCTGCAGAGAGGGCTGTTATTCAGTCATTCAGATAAATAAAGGAAATGGGCCATCAAGAGGAAGATTACACCTTAGTTATTACATATTATATAAACCAGCATGCAATCTGTTGTTGCAAGTAAAAAATATGTAAATGAAGCAAAAATGTAATGTGTGTTTATAAAACAAAAAGAACAGAAAGAGGTTAATGGAGAAATGAGTTTTAGAGCTCTAAAGGAGTATTGATGATGTTAACCTCAGCTTGGTGTCTAATGGACATAAATTATTTCTCTAAACCCTTAAAGAAAAGAGAAAAGGGCACCAGAAAAAGCTTTTAGGAAAGTGAGATGTAAAAGTGATGGGCAGTCTCATCTTTTGTGTTATTCAGGACATGCTTCCGTCTTTTGTCTCATGTCTACCTGGCCCTTGTTGTGTTGTGCTGGCGATGATCCACTTGACCAGACAACATTTCATCAGAGATTTGCGTGAAAGCCGTGGTCTCTGCCACTTGGAGCCTTCTGTCTGTCCGCCGGGACTCGGATCTTTGCCGTTGGCATCCGGGTGTAAATCACCATCCACAGTCTTCTTCTCTGCCTGAAGAACACAGGAGGACATTAACCTCGGAGACAAACAGACATCTCTGCTGCTTGTATTAATTTAGAGAAAGACGGAATGTTTCTGCAGATCATCTTGAAACCCCAACCTGGTCTTTCCTGACCCACAGTTGGATCCTGACCCTCGTATTAGGAACCAACGATCTACTCCGCAAAAACTCACTGATCTTAACGAACAATGTTGTGACAGTTTGGAATGTTTCTTTTTAATTTTCAGGCTCTTTGTCTAAAGATAAGTGCACTGAAAAAAGATGCAGGCCCATTCTTGCATGTCAAAACCTCTAGCCCTTTGGACAGAGATTCTGTTTCTAACCACCACCAACAGGCAAGGAGGGGGAAGTGTTATATCTAAGGACACAACAACTAACCTAGAGGGAGCCCAGGTTTGAACTGGCAACCCACCAGTTACAAGGCAAACTGCTAGCCTCTTAGCCACCATTACACCACTATTGTTTATCCTGCTGCAAAGATTACCAGGACTCAGCAACCCCCCTACCGAGCATCTGCCACCACCAAATCCACAGGAGAGCCACCTCCATCATTAGAGACCCCAAACACCCCTAACATGGATTGTTCACACTTTTACCATCAGGCCAGAGCTACAGAAGTAAGAAATGCAGGATGACCAAACTGTAGAGCTTTCTCTCAGGATGCCAGACTCCTGAGATGATGAGCTGACAACACTTCTCATGGATACTTTATTTCTACCTTGCACACAAATTCCCCAGTTTTACTGTTGGGTATTTTTATATCCTGAAATTAACCACACAGGAGAGAAGTCAGTAGGTTGTATACGCTGCGAGAGGCAGCGGAGAGAGAGACTGGCTCAGAACCTGTTTAGGCCCTGTTCCAATCAACTCTCTGGTGTGTTCTCTCTCTCCAGCTGGTTTTATTAAAAAATAGGGAAACAAGGACAAAGAATAATCCATCACTGTCCACACTTAACCAATAACACTGTTGATTCTATCTAAGGCGGGGCCTTCTTAAAAGGAAGTCTCAAGTTACAGGGGTAGCTGCTAGCAGCCACAAGTAAAAATGTGAATTTTTACTTAGCTTATAAGGGTGTTAAATAGAACCCTAGTAGAGATAAATGTAAAAAATAGAACGTAACAAGTAAAAATAGAATGTAATAAGTAAAATAGAAAAATAGAAAAATACATTTCTATACCAAAAGACCTGAGTAAGATCTTAACAACCAAAAAATCAACCATAAAACCTAAGTAATTAGGAATTATGACATACCTTACCTGTGCAAGATTTAGAATGTCTAAACAACGTAACGATTTTAGCTTAGCCAAATAATCCAGACATCAACCTCTACATGTTACCTTGTGAGTAATTTAATATAGGTGTAGCCTTGATTTCTTAAGCTAAACTACACTCCGGTACCTCAACCATCTAGGCCAGGTCAGTTTCCATCAGGAACCTTCTGTTAGATCAAAGTGTTATTCATGATAACCTAATGCAAGGAGAAACACACAAGATGATGAAAAGTCTAAGGTGAGGAGTTGGACACTTGTTAATTTCCATCCAATTTGCACTTGAATCTTCTTTATGTCCGTCATTTCCTCCTACAGCTGCACAGAGGCCTCCTTCTGAAGCAAAGAGGAGGTCTAGCGCCATCTGGTGTTCCATTGCCATAGTGCGAAGAGCTGCCTTCTCATGATCATCTGCCATCATATTGATGCCCCATTCATCGCTGTACAGTTCGTCCTTTGTTGTCAGAGAATGGCTTGTAGACCTGAACAGGTTTTAAAACTCTGCGTCGCAGATGACTGGGTCTTTACGTCAGTGCGTTTCTGACCTGTGGCTCATGAAACCAACTGAAACTGCAGATCCTGTGGCTTTTTGTCCGAGGTGATGCCCCCCCCCCCCCCCCCCCCCCACCCCCACCCCCGAGTGCTCACGCTTTTTCTCCACGAGCCTGTCTAGGACACAGAGAGATGTCACATGTCCTGCGGCTCCACTTAGAGCCTGGATCCATCCTGACCTCGGTGTCTGACCTCGTCTCCTGTCCAGGCTTGATGCACTGCAGTGGTTCTCTGCATCAGTCACAGGCTGTGTGCTCAGGCCCTTGCACTTTACTGCAGGTGTGTTGGTGTAGGATGAGATGGAGGAACTGGTGTTGATGTCATCTGTGTCAATGTTGTCATTGATTTGAGCCAAGTCCTGAGCCGACTGGCCCACAGCAGCTTTGTGGTTTTTCATCAGCTCATTTATGTCCTCCTGGTCCTCCTCCATTCTGGACTGCAGGTCTTCAATCTCCATCTCCATGAACTCTCGAGCTTTCACAGCTGCTGCACAGGTGAACTCAGACTCCTCCAGCTGGTTCTTTAGTTGGGCGATCTCCCTCTTACTGGGTTGTTACTTGTTCTTGATGTGGCCCAACATGATCTGGGCATCAGCCAGTAGAGCCTTTGTCCTCTTCAGGTCCTTCCTCAGATGTTTCTCTACATCACCACTTT